TCAGGTTCACTATAATTTTGCTTGTAAATACTAGAAAGTTTGGCTCACAGTGAAACTGTGAAACATTTCAAATTTTGGTAAGCCTGGTTTTGAAGAAATGTAAAATGCAAGTTTAAAGTTTTCTGTTCATGAACTGCTCACGTCAAGTTTATCAAGTGTGCTATTGCCATCATTATTGGCGCCATAATAACTAGTTTGGCTCTGTACTTTGAGTGTATTACTACACATTGACATGGAATTACAACTCCGTTATAATAGCAGCTTCTACTAACTTTACCAAAACGCACTAAACTACTTAATTCACTCATTGGTTAATAGTGTAACTACTATTGTTACTAGTGTTAATAGTAACTACTTAATTCACTTCACTCATTGGTTAATAGTGTCAACATTTCTATTATGCAAATTACTTGTGATAATAAAATCAATGGTTGCTTTGTTAGCAATGGTCTTAAATTATTCCCTGGGAAGAAGAATTTAGATTATCATTGACTTGCCTGTCAATAATTGTTCAACCTTTCATATTGCAAAACAAATTAGGTTATAAAATTAGCTTTACTTGAAAGGCTACATAATTGAGTGTAATCATTTTCATCAATTTTAATCATTAAGTGAAATTATAAATGTATTTTCCAAGTGCTGGATTAAATGATAGTGTATTTATGTCAGTGCGCAAAGTCAATACTGTCAAACGGGGTAACAAGGGATGGGTGGGGTAAATTGGGACGGGCGTCCAACATTTCGTAGAAATATTGTAGCAGCTAAATTAATTAAAATATTGCAAAACTAAAAATAGTGGAATAAACTTCAACATTTTTACTATCTATTATGTATGAAGCTAGTTAAGAAATCATTATTTTACTACCTCTAAAAAATTGCTGAAAAAAAAGTGAAAAGTACAATTTTGGAAAAGTACCTCTACTAAGGTCTGGCGAAAAAAAAATTCACCATATTAAAAAATTTAATTACATAAAACTTGCACACAGGTGTTGGCTTGAAAACACGATTGATGGAATGTGCATCTCATTAAAAAAATAAATGACAGCCATTTCCATGTGACGGGGTAATAAGAAAAAACCCCCCGGGGTAATACCCCACCCCTAAAAAAACATACGTATACAGTTTAACCTTGGTCAGCTAAGGCTCCAGTTAACAAAAAAAAATGATTAACAACAAAGAATTTTGAATGCATTTACCTCGCTTAGCAAAAAATTTCATTTATCAAAAAATTAATGCATCTTTGGTCATCACAAAATTGTGCATAGAATGTCATATATAGAATTGTGCACTGTTCATCATAGAACGAAAAGTGATTAACCTAATCTATGATTTATTTCTGCAAAACATATGACGGTTGTTACTAAAAGATTGCTTTCTGTTTTGAGTATGTTTTTTATAATCTTTTTATAGTAAATTCACTTAACCCAATTAAAATGGCATGAAATTACAAGCCATCCTGTAAGCTTACAGATACAGAAGAAATGCTAAACGCCGGCTGATATGAAGCTTGCAGTGTACAAAGTCGTTGTAAATGCTCAACGGCATGTTCATGGATACAGTAATATCACATCAATAATAAGGTAATGAATGAATATGGTGATATCATATCAATCAAGGATAAACAAGTTTAACCCTCTACGCCCTGAATTTCTGGGACAAAAATTGTAAAATTCACATTTTCGGTTTTAAGTCTCACTTCGAAGCTGACATTCTGACCTATCCAATGGTACCAAATTCATTGCTGTACGTTGATTTATGCCTTGACGACTGTTCGTGAAAGTGTTAGGGGACACCCCACCCACAAAAATTAGAATTTCGAAAAACGGCAAGGACCAATCGATAGATATGGTCCTTACACATTGAATGATATGCGTCTCGATGTTGTAGCTTGAAAATCATAGGAGGAGATAGATTTCTACAGTACCCCCTTTTTGTCGGTTTTCTAAGAATTTCACGTTTTCTTTCACTTTTTTCGAAAAATTCCTACGAACAAAAAAGTCTTAGATTTATCTTTTACATATGTGTACAAAGTTTCAAAGTTATCTGTTAGTAAATAACCGAAATAGAATTTCCATAAGAAATTGGACATTGCCATTGGAAATTGGAAATTATATTTCGGTTATTTACTGACAGATAACTTTGAAACTTGGTACACATATGTAAAAAATAAATCTAAGACTTTTTTATTGTGAATTTTTCAAAAAAATGACAGAAAACGTGAAATTGTTGGAAAAGGTAGCTAGTCCCTGGTGTGACAAATTCGTCACGCCAGGGCGTAAAGGGTTAAAAAATGCAGAAAATGTCATTTATTCTACATCTACATCATCTACAATGAAAGAGGAGGACTTCAGAGTACTGTTAGTAATGGATGAATACACTCTGCATGCTTCAAACATCTTAGAATTGAGTTTTATTTCAAGTGTCCCAGATTACCCCGTTTCCAGGGATACTTCAGGATGGTTTTATTTTGCGTCTGGCACCTAATGAATAGCATATGGAATTTTTTTGAAGATGCCATTCAATAGCCCTCATAAAGAGCTATGAAATGAGCCTAAACCTGTTTATGAAATGTTTCATGGTAAGAAGTTATTAACAAATAAAATACTTGAGAAAAACCTTTTTAAAAAAAACACATTTTTCTTGTGGACTAAAAAGTAGAAAATAAATTATGGCTCGCCCCAAAAAATGTAGGTCGGGCTTGTACGTTCACCATCAAATTTCCAAAATTCTTGTGTTGTGTGCTTTTCGCTTTAATCCTAAATCTGCCTGACACGTTTTTTGGGGCGAGCCATAATTTATTTTCTACTTTTTAGTCCACAAAAAAAACATGTTTTTTTTAAAAGTTTTTTTAAGTATTTTATTTTCTACTTGTTAGTCCACAAGAAAAATAATTAAGACTTGATTAAGTATGATTTGACGTTCATATCAATGATACACAGCGTCAGTGCCTGCTCGTCTAGTATAACGTTAGCGCCTGAACATCATACTATATACCGTATATACTATATATATATACTTTACTCAATTAAGCTAATTTAGGTCTCTAATTGCTAGTTTTTATGATTGTATCTGAAATTGTTAGGCAAAAATAGCCTGCATGCTGAATTTCAGATCTCTAGAGCAACCAGAAGTGGGCTAATTTTTGTTGTCAATGTTAACAACAAACAAACAAACGCAAAGCTAAGTTAAGAAAAACGTGTTAAAAACGCTCAAAACCGTCCCTTATTACCCCGTTTGACGGTATGCACATTGCATGCATGTTCATGAATGCTATATATTGCCTACAAATTGTGAACGTAGATAAAAGTGCCTGTTTGTGCAACTTTGATATGAGATACAAAAACAGGCTCCATTTTCTTTTATGAAATTTCCTTATTCCAGAATTTATTAATATTATATATCAATGCCAGACTTTGAATAAAATGTTAACTCATGAGTTTTGTGGGCCATGAAACTGATATTTATGCACCATTTGTAATCAATGTGAGAGTATCACCCATATGGGCTAATAGAAGAAAATGAGAATTTATGTGGGTTACGTAGCACAAGAATCGTATCACCAGTTTGACGGTCACTGAAAATAAATGAATGAAACTGCAAAATTGAGTATATAAAACTTCATGCTGTTGAAGTAGCAAGACGTCAGAGCTGCACCGCTGAAGAGGTTTTATTTGCATTGAGGGCAACTGGGACCTTGTACTTTTTCTCTGCCTTATAGTTGGCATTCTATAAAATAACCATGTATTCCAATTATATATCACTTCACAGTCAACGAATATGAAAAATTTTTACAACCCTTTTTACACCAGCATAGATAACTACAAGTTAATATTTCATCTATTAATTCACTATGATTTCAAATATAAATTAAAGCTAAACCCTTGATCATTGAAATATAAATTGATCGATTGATTGATCCCATCTTAACTACCATATATGACTAACATTTATTAGGTCAGCATAATTTTATTTTACTGTACAAATTTAAACATATCATAAGAGGATCAATAAAATGCAAAATAATATTGCCAGTCTTTATTTCTCTTTGTAGATATCTTGTATAAATGTGTTGTCTATTATGTAAAAGCATTGCCATCCATGTAGTAAAAATTGTATACAGTTAACCAAGTGTGATCTCAGCATAAGGAAGAATGTGAACTCAATCCCTTTCATTCCCTCTTCCCACATTCGAGTTGAAATCTCCCCCTATAATCAATTTCTCACTTCCACCACACGCAACTTGATTCTCAACCGCTCTTCTGTACCTCTCCATACCGTCATCATTTGTTCCCCACACAGGCTGATACACCGACACCAGTCGCAAACCTCCCAACACCACAGCAGTCACTCTCTCCTCAAACTATCTCTACTGTCCATCTCTCACCTACACCTCTAAAGCCTCACCCCTCAACACCACAGCCGACTTCTTCCCATGTACCACCACTACTCTTTCCTCATCCTCTCCCTGATGAATTATATTTCAAGAGAATTACCCAATACCATGGTTGAATATAGATATTCCTCCCAAAACCGCACTCATCAGCCATAGGGTATCACTGCGCATGTATAAAAATTTAGCATATCCGTCGGGGAAGTGAAATTTCCACTTGGGACTAGATAGTAGATATTTCCCAGTCCCATCATTTTTAGAGGTGTATCAGACTTCAAGGCAGTGAAACACGATCAGGGACATGCACATGTATGAAGGAGGCTGACGCAAGAAGAGACCAATTGATGCGCCGGCGACCGGCTTATACCTTGGTACATCTCTCCTTTTAAAGAGAGAACCCCCCCCAGCCCTATCTAGTATATTAAAGTGAAGTGCACATAAAACCTAGCAATAATAACTTGCCTCATCCACTTGTTCACGTTTTTAAAAATGAATATTCATTAAAATTTACATATACCCATCATTGTGAAAAATATTTCAACCTGTCCCAACCTGTCAACTAGAAAATAAACTGAAAAAAGTTAGAGTAAAAATTAACTATCCATCATTTATGAAGCATTGTATTTTTCAGGAAACTTTACTAGTATATATTTTCTTTACATTTATTGTTTCATTTTTATTACATTCTCACCATGGGAGTGGTTGAAAGGAAGCAGAAAATTTTCTACAAGAAGACAAAGCGTGGCAATATTCTAAAAGTAAGAAAAATGTATGAATGTATTTAATTTGTTATGTGAATTAATCATTTGTTTCCAATAAAATATATATGATGGAATAATTTTATGAAATTTGTTTAAAATTTGCTTTGAAACTAATGTAGGTAAACTAAGTTTTAGTGCAATTGTGAGTATTCCTTACAACAATTAGATCAAAATTATCATTAGGTTTGGCACACTTCTAAGTTGTCCATTGGTTAATACTATGTATTGTAAAGTGTTTGTAAACCCAGGTGGTGAGGGAGCACTACCTGCGTGATGATGTGTGGTGTAGCGTTGCAGGATGTCAGCAGTGCAAAAATGAAGCCTCATCATTAAATCCTGTTCCTGAGTCACCTTCAAACCTTGTGTCAGAACCACATGTTCTTGTCATTGACACTAACATAGCACTTCACCAGGTAGGTTATATTAAATGTTAATCAGTAATTGTAGCAATGTGAAACCTATAGGTTTGTTTTTTAAGAGTGTGAAACTCATTTGCTTATAAGTCAAATTAGAATAAGGAACCCATATCCATTAAAAATATTAATAGAGATGTTATTATGCCAAAGACACTCAAAATTGAATAGTTATTTTTTCCACCTGGTGATGAATTTATAGTTCCATCTCAGTATTTCATACTAAAATCCTATTGTGGTGATCTGTCAACTTTTTATCAATGTTTAAATCAAGCCAAGATAATGTGAAAACAATCTCAAATTTTACCATAATGAGGTGAATTAAAGTTTACATTGTTTATACCTATTCCCTGGCAAAAGATGCAGTGCTTAGTTTGAATTAAACATCAAAACAAAGCTTCACTATTAAATGAAGCAAAAAAAAAAAACAGACTTTTCTTACAATAATTTGAACAGAAAACCAATATTAATTAACTTAACAATACAATAACTCAAAGCTGAGTATTCCATTACCTACATTGTTTGTCCACTTAGAAAATAATTTTCCAATTCGCTTGCTTCAAATATAATTCTCTTTTATATGTTACAGATTGACTTTCTAAGTCACGAGAGCATTCGTAACATCGTAATACCCCAGACTGTGTTACATGAGGTGCGTCATCGCTCCTTGCCTGTTTATAAGCGGCTCAGAGATGTCATAGATCTGCCTTCTAAAAACTTCTATGTCTTCTCCAATGAACATCATAGGTAAGTGTAACAATTTCAGAACTTCTACAATTGCCCTTAGAATTTGGTTAAATAAAACTATACTCTGTTGAAATTATTGAACTAGTCAGTGTATTTCAGGTAATTCTTTTCTGATAGAAAACTTGATAGTGAAAATTATCATCTTGTCACTGCCAAATCTATTGGGCAGTTGTCTCTCACTTGTCTAACACAGCTGTGTTGCCTAATCAAACCACAGTTGTGGTCTCTCACTTGTCTAACACAGCTGTGTTGACTAATCAAACCACAGTTGTGGTCTCTCACTTGTCTAATGTCAAACTAATGTTAAGCAACCTTGCAATCTAGTAACAGTTGTAGTCTATTATACAGTTGTCTACTGTCACACCATTGTTAAGCAACCTTATCGTTTGATTGATCAGCTCGTGCTACGTTGAGCGTGTGGCAGGGGAGAGCAGCAATGACCGTAACGACACGAGCATCCGCCTGGCTGCGTGGTGGTATGGCTCACACCTACAGCCACTGGGGGTGCAGGCTGTGTTGCTCACCGACGATGTCTCCTGCAGACACAAGGCCAAGGAGATGGATATCACTGCATACAGCGGTGAGAACTCGTCCTTAGTTTTCTTGCTTTGTGGGTAAATAGATTTAAATTGTTGTATACGGTGGTGAGAACTCGCAGTCAGTTTTTGTTGTATTCATGATCTGAATGTAACCTTTCTTAAATCTTTCATTATCAAGGCTATTCATATCTAGATGCCTAATTACGAGCTCCCGATGGTAACAAAGTAAACCTTACGATAAGGGTTGAAAATCTCATCTATTTAAAAGTGGTTAATTATCTTAACGTATGTACCGATGAATTTGCCGTCGTAATGTAATCCATATTTAAACGCCTCACTTAACTAGCGTCTGCACCATCAGCCACAGGTTTAAGCTCATCCCTAATGCTGCTCATTGTTAGTGTATTTAACTAGCGTCTCCATCACCAGCCACAGGTTTAAGCTTGTCCCTAATGCAGCTCGTTGTTAGTGTATTTAACTAGCGTCTCCATCACCAGCCACAGGTTTAAGCTCGTTCCTAATGCTGCTCGTTGTCACAGTGCGAGAATACGCGTCGTCGCTCACTGAGTCTCCGGGCCTCTTGGACTTGGTAGCCTCCACAGAGCCTACAGAAAAAGACGAAGATTCGTTCAAGAAAATGTTCTACGAGCCTCACTGGTCACTTGAACAAATTCGTTCCATGTTGAAGGTATGTTTTAAAGGTTATTGGAATATTTTGTATTGACTTGTTAGTTCATCTACTCTCTGACATGTGATTCTGATTAGATAAGTATGTGATTCTGATTAGATTTACTTTATTTAAGTGTTTATCTAAAAAAATTTTATACTACTACATTTTGGGTTTACAAATTTTCACATTATATTAATGTCATTTTGGCACGCGATAATTTGTTATTAAAAATTCTGGCTGTGTGTTGAGTTATTGATTGTATTTTTAACGTTATGTTGGTTGTATATGTGTTGCGTGGAATTATTTCCGACCATTTATTCCTCTTCACATTGAATTTTCATGCGTGTATAACACTTGTATTCTTCAATACGTTCATTCATATGTTACACCTGAATCCCTCATGTTGTCTGTGGCACCGTTGCCCATGCGTGTTAAGACGGGCGCTTCAGTCGGATGACTTGGAAGGGTTGTCAAAAGGAGGGATGGGCTTTGAAGGGGAGAAAGAGGCAAGAAAGGGAGAGGCCTCGTGATGTCTCGTTATCAAAGGGAAGACGAACCAATGAAAGGAAAAAGGGTCGACGTTCCGAGGAACTAAGTACACGTAGCGGCCGAATTCTTGTCTGTGATTGGCGTGTTTAGCTTGCCATCCGTGATTGTCTGACGGTGTAATGAACTCATTACAGTTTTTATTTTGTTAGTAGGTCTCCGGATCCTCGTAGAGAAGGTAAAGCACGACGCTGATGGTGCCGGCAGATAGACCTTTACCGTTTACTAGGGCCGCGATTTGTTAGATGCCCTGATTGTAGCGCTATTTGGGGTGTTGTGTCTCCTTCCTCGGGCGAATAAGCGGCAGAGATACAGTGTCCCTTCATCTCACTCAACTGTGACACTTGTTACGCACATTTAACTGGCACACACTCAATAAACCCAGGTTTTCCATCGCATCACACCTGCATAAAAGGTCTTAAATCATTACATCAAGATTTTTTTTATACATTTCTCACTCCACTCTGGTTTTAATTGAAAATTTGAACAGAATAGGTAAAACTAGCTGTTACTTTTTTGCCAGATTGATAGTAGACTTTACATTTATAACTTAGTAACAGAAATTTATAATCATAATATTTTGATACAACATTAAAACACTAGGTTTTGGTCGCCGGAATGAAGAGTATTAACTCGTGTTAAAAATACGCGTTTGACACGTTTATTTGGCCGACAGCGCGGCGAGCTACGGCAGGGCGTGCTGCGTATGTCCCGCAGCAACTGCCTCGAGGGCAGCGTCATGGTCGAGGGTCTCGATGAGGCCATCCTAGTACAGGGCAGAACTCATCTCAACAGGTATACGATTGTTTAGTGCTTATTTTATCAGTTCTTGTCTCATATGGTCAGTTAGCTAAACAGGCGGTACCAAGCTTACATATGTACTTATGTACATAAGCTTATGTAGCTTATGTATTATGTATGTATTATTATTATTAGCTTATGTATTATGTACTGGTATGTATCAGCCTGGGTAGGCTGATGATATATTTGATGTCATGTATATGCTCTGGTGTGACGAAATTAACTCCAGTTTCGGCTGATTTATTTCTAATCATTTATTTGTGTTGGACTTACTGAGGCTAATATATTCTAAGTATTTACCAGCATGGAAATATTACCCAGATAATCGGCGTTTTTCAGAGCTCTTCATGACGACGTAGTGGCGCTGCAACTGCTGGACGAGACGTGCTGGGTGGGCGCCTCTGCTAAAGTCATAGAGCGCGAGGACCTGCTGGAAGCAGGTGACCTGCAGCCTAGCCTTAACCATGAACTTGTCTTGTTGTAGTCGTGATGAAATCATGTTGTGGTCATGATGACGTCATGTTGTGGTCATGATGACGTCATGTTGTGGTCATGATGACATCATGTTGTGGTCATGATGACATCATGTTGTGGTCATGATGACATCATGTTGTGGTCGTGATGACATCATGTTGTGGTCATGATGACATCATGTTGTGGTCATGATGACATCATGCCGTGGTCGTGATGGCATAATGTAAACAGAATTAAAACTATCTACTGATGGTTACTCTTGTTACCAAGCCTTGTTAATAAATGTTACTTAACTTAATGCATAAGTTGACGAAAGCTTGAGCAAAACTTGTTAATTGCACAGAAGAGAAGGAAGAACCTTCGGCTGGCGGTGCTGAAGGGGCGACCGACGAGACGTTGCTGGCCGTGGAGAAGCAAGCTCACCGGCAGCCCACAGCCCGCGTCGTCGGCGTCATAAGAAGGAAGTGGCGCCAGTACTGCGGCATCATCAAGCCTTCTGACATCCCCATGGTCAGAAATATGTTACTTTTTATTTATATTTTTAGCGCATTTTCTCATTATGGTAAAAATGCACTATTGTCCGTCCGTCTGTCTGTCCGTCCGTGACTTGACGTTTTCGTCGACGAGAAAATGCGCTCTCTGTCAATCACTGCAGTGAGTACTGAGTTATATTTTTTGTACGAGATGAAGTACCATGAATATTGCATTCAAATTTGGCATTACAATCATTTCATTCTTTGTAACGCTGCTGCTTTCTATCAAGTACGTAATTCATTTTATTTATTTCAAGATGACTAAGCAACTACTGGAGAGCGTAAAATGTAAGCAATATTCTACATAGAGGACGGAAACTGTACTTTTTTATTGTGCAGGCAACCCGCCATCTGTTCGTGCCAGCTGACCGCCGCATCCCCTACATCCGTCTGGAGACGAGGCAGGTGGAGCAGCTCGTAGGCAAGCGCATCATCGTGGCGCTCGACAGCTGGCCACGGGATAGTCGCAACCCAAAGGTTTGTGGGGCGTCGATATTAAACACTTTGATTACTGATACTGCATCTAGTCACCTGGAGCTGAACTATCGAGCATAGTTACGCGTTTTAACTTCGTCAGCCATTCACTGACTACTTTTTTATTACAACACTTCTCTTTAACTTCACTTTTTGTTTGTCTGTTTGCTACAAATCTTGTAATCGAAATTTAATACACTTCTACTTATCCTATCAATCTGAAATGTTGCACACTAGCGCAAAATTAGAGACAATGCATGAATCAAATGACAAAATAAATAATTTTAAGAATACATTTTTTTTAATAATAAAAAACAGAAAAAAATACAGTTTTGTCAGCTACAAATCTTATAATTGATATTTGACACACTTTTACCTGTAGAATTGATATGAAATTTTGCACACTTGCGTAAAGTTGGAGACAATGCATTAATGAAATGACAAAATGAATAATTTAGAAAAAAAAATCAATATAAAAAAACTGCAAAAATAATTTTGTCACCTACAAATCTTATAATTGATATTTGACGCACTTTTACCTGTCCAATTGATGTGAAATTTTGCACACTTGTGTGAAGTTGGAAGCAATGCAATTGGCAGAATGAAAAGTAATTTTGAAAAAAATGTTATATAATAAAAAAGTTGAAAAATTAATTTTTTTAAGATTCGAAAATAAAATAAAAAATTCGTTGTACATCTGTAACATTTGAAACACTGGATTCTTTAGAAGTGATGTCTTTAAAAAGTAATTTTTAAACGTATATTTTACTACACTTCTCTTTAACTTCACTTCTTGTTGTCTGCCTGTGTGTCTGCTACAAATCTTATTATGAAAATTTAACACACTTCTACTAATCCTATTGATCTGAAATTTTGCACACTTGCGTAAAGTTGGAGACGACGCATGGATCAATTGACAGAATAAACGATTTGAGAAATTAAAAAAAAAATTGTTTTCAATATTAAAAATATTAAAAAAATAATTTTGTCAGCTACAAATCTTATAACTGAAATTTGACACACTTTTACCTGTCCAGTTGATCTGAAAATTGGCACACTTGTTTGAAGTTGGAGGCAATACATGAATCAATTGACAGAATAGATAATTTTGAATAAGTTTTTTATTTATTAAAAAAAATTAGAAAAAATTAAGTTTTTTTAATATTCGAAAATAAAATGAGAAATTCATTGTACATGTGTAACATTGGAGACACTGGATTCTTTAGAAGTGTTGCCTTTAAAAAGTAATTTTTAAACGTATATTATTCCTAATTACATGTGAAGTTGGAACGCAGAAGTTGAGCTACAGCAGCAAGTGTGGCTGGTCGTATGCGTGTGGTGGCCATATATATTAGTGTTGTGTATTGCTAAAATGCTGGCAGTTCCATTGTTGAACCAATGAACTTCAACCACGGGCAATTCACCCTCCAATCAAGCCAGCAGGCAATTTTTGCACCAATTTATTCATCATCGATTGAGAAACAAATGTAATTGGCTTATCCTTCAATTTGAAATTTGAATCAAGTTTGAAAATCAAATGTATTGATACTTTAAGCAAAAATGATGAATGTTCGTTGCACGATGGACCTCACATTGGCTATAAAGTTGTCTGCTGTCTCGAGACGCCATATATAGAGGTTCGTCCAATTTCGTATCCACAATACCGGACTATATAAAGTCTGGTCTCAAAATTTGTCTTCATCATCGATTTTCTTTGATATTTCGATCGAACTAAAAATCTTTAACAAAATGGCTGGTCTCCAAAGACTCGTGGAATGCTCTTCTAAGTCAGGCTAAGGCATGTCGGACTGGCAATTCGCCAGTCCTGCCTACGCTAGTTGCTGGGATCCCAGCTTCTGGCGTCAATAGAGCCTCTCTGGTAAAGCCAGTAGATCTCTGGTGACGCCAGAGTTGAGCCGAAGCGAGGCGCCGCCCCCCAAGAGGGGGAAGAGATTCACCGCATTCTTGCGGAGAATCTTTTGTGGCTGTTGCAGGCCACGCGGCGAGAGCGACGATGGCCGGTGAATGGTAGCGCCCAATTCTTGAGGAGTTGGGGCGCTGCCTTCACCTGGCTACTGCTTTGCTCTTGGGGGAAGGGAGTTAGGAGGGGGTCCTTCGGGACCCAAAAAATAAAACATCCTGCCTCCTGAGGAGGGGAGGGGGGTCCTTCGGGATCCAATGAATAAAACTTCCTACCTGTTGTGGAGTCTACGATCATTGGCACACCGTCAATCCTAGCTGCGACATTTGGCCTACGTGAGGTAATATGCGGAACATTCTTTTCCCCAAAAGGACGATTGTTTTTTGTCCGATGTATAGTATCTCACATTGGACATGAAGTTGTCTGCTGTTTCGAGATACCATGTATGGAGGTTTGTCCCATTGCGTATCCACGATACCGGACTGTCTGGTCCCAAAATTTCGCTTTCATCGTCGATTTTACATTGGAAATTTGTGGCAGCGGCAGGCCACAAGGCGACGTCCGAGAGAGACGGTGGCTGGTGAACGGTAGCACCCAATTCTTGATTAGAGGCGCTGACATTGTCTAGGGGAGGAGGGGTGGTCATTCGAGACCCAAATAATGAAACATCCTACCTGATGGGAAAACGGGGTTTATTCCAACCTATGTCAATCAACGCATCTGGAATGCGTAGTCCGGGCTTATCCAAATTTCTGGGATCGACTAGGACTTTGTGATATTGAAGTCGCCGGGACATAAATGTTTCAAATATCTTTAATATAACAAATTTAGTTTGTGTATCAGAAGTGCGTTCGTGATGTAAGCTCGGCGCCGCAAATATATAGGGGCTAAGTAAACGCTTATTCACCATACGCCGGAATATTTCCTGAGTTTTCCTCGGAGTAAAAATTAGTTCATGACAGTATATTTTGGAATGTAAAGACTAAGATAGGATTGGAATTTGATTTTTAAATCAGAATTTCTAGATTGAATTTAAAATCTGCATTTACCTATTTTTGAACGACAAGCAAGCGGGTGTTCTAAGTTCAATATAGCATGTATAGCTTTGAGCTGGTATCGATATTTTTTAATACACGAATTAATATGAACTGGTCTCTTTTTACAACACTTCTCTTTAACTTCACTTCTTGTTGTCTGTCTGTCTGTCTGTCTGCTACGAATCTTATAACTGATATTCACTTCATTTATTCTGTCACTTGATTCATGCATTGTCTCCAACTTTACGCGTGTGTCAAATTTCAGATCGATTGGAGAAGTGTGTTATTTAACACACTTCTACCTATTGTGTAACACACAAATTTATGAATTAATGAACTGGTCTCTTTTTACAACACTTCTCTTTAACTTCACTTCTTGTTGTTTGTCTGTCTGTCTGCTACAAATCTTATAACTGATATTTAACACACTTCTACCTATCCAACCGATCTGAAATTTGCACACTTGCGTAAAGTCGGTGACAATGCATGAATCAAGTGACAGAATAAATGATTTTAATAATTAAAAATTTTTTCGTCATTAAAAAAATTGTAAAATAATTTCGTCTGCTACAAATCTTATAATCCATATATGACACAATTTGACCTGTCCAATCGATCCGAAATCTTGCACACTTGCATATAAAGTCAGAGACAATGCATGAATCAGTTGACAGAACAAATACTTTTGAAAATTTACAAAATTTTGATATCATAAAAAGTTTGAAAAATACTTTTTTTCAATATTCGAAAATAAAATTAGAAATTCACTGTACATGTGTAACATCCAAGACACTGGATTGTTCAGAAGTGTTGCTTTAAAAGCGTACATCTTTATGTTTTCATAGCATCTGTTCTGATATTTTTAACCTGCGAACCAGGGACATTTCGTTCGCGTGCTGGGAGAGATTGGTGACCGAGAGACTGAGAACGAAGTTGTGCTGCTGGAGCACGACTGTCCACACACCGCCTTCTCTGAAGCTGTGCTCAAGTGCCTGCCGCAGATGCCCTGGGTTATCACAGAAAAGGTTTTTGTCATATCAACAGTCGTTTTAATTGCTATAATGTACTTGATAGTAAATTTTAGGCTAGTTTTCGTAATAATTTCAAAAGCAGTTACCAGCTCGTTACCTAGTCAGCCAATAACTGACGGATTATAAACTCGATCCAATCACTGACAAGGAATCAGGCAATATGTGTACTCAAGCCGCTACAGTACTTGAGCAAATTTTGATAGTACGGCTCCTGAACCCCACTCGTTAATGTTTCCTCAGGACGAGCGTGAGCGCGTCGACCTCCGTCACGTGGACATCTGCTCCGTGGACCCCATTGGCTGCACGGATATTGACGACGCTCTGCACTGCCGTCGCCTTGACAACGGCAACTTCGAGGTACTGTCACTGTATTCTCACTACTTTCCGCGACATTATTATAGGTGCCCTTCACATTATGAGTATTGAAAATTATGAGATGAATTGCATTAAATAATTCAAAATTACGTGAATTTGTACGGATCAACTTAAACTCTCTTATATGACCGCATCGAAGTGCCCAGCGTTCTGGCACGATCAGAGTATGAAAATCCTTGTACCCACTAGTTTGTTCACCATATCTCTTCGCCGCAACTAACTGAAACTTAGGCACTTTTTTACCACACTTCTCTTTAACTTCACTCCTTGTTTGTTTGTCTGTCTGTCTGCTACAAATCTTATAATCAAAATTGAACACACTTCTACTTATCCTATCGATCTGAAATTTTGCATACTTACGTAAAGTTGGAGACAATGCAAGAATCAAATGATTCTTGCATTGTCAGATTGCAGATTTTAAAAAGTAAATTTTTTTTTTCAATATTAAATAAAATTGAAAAAATAATTTTGTCAGTTACAAATCTTACAACTGATATTTGACACACTTTTACCTGTCCAATTGATCTGAAATTTTGCACACTTGTGTGATGTCGGAGGCAATGCATGAATCAATTGACAGAATAAAGAATTAAGAAAAAATTTATTACGTATATTAAAATAAATTGAAAATTAATTTTTTTTTAATATTCGAAAATAAAATTAGAAATTCATCATACATCTGTAACATTGGAAACACTGGATTCTTAAGAAGTGTTATCTTTAAAAGGTAATTTTTAAACGTATATTATTTAATTAAACGTTGCGCAGCCTTCTCACATTTTATTACAGTGTACCGTGCTGAAGAAATTATATTTTTCAAATGAGAAGTTTCAATTGTCATGCAGTATTGTGACTGATTCTTTCCTCCTTGTTACATTAATAATATTAATTTCGTAACGAATTTCATTCTATGTCACTTCTAACTTATGGCGCCGAGCTTAACTTGTTTTGCTGTGACTGCCGAACACGAAATATTTTGCGCGTTACCGCTTGCCATGCAGCCTGGAAATGAATGTTTTTAATGCTTCGCAATTGGAAATTCTAAAAAAGTAATTTATTATGTAATTTTCCCGTCCATCACTTCTTCCTACTCAGGTTTTTAGAACGAAATATGCTCATCAGTTTGCTGCTTACTATTACTCCGTACTCAAGTTTGTTGACCCTCAATTTTATTGTCAGGTTTTTAGAACGTAATATACTCATTTTACTGCGTATTATTACTCCGTACTCAAGTTTGTTGACGTCAGGTGGGCGTACACATCGCTGACGTGTCGCACTTCATCAGGCCCGGCACGGCGCTGGACAAGGAAGCACAACATCGCAGCACATCAGTCTACCTCACCAACAGGTTATTGTAACACATATTTCTCATCTCGTGCTCAAACATTTATTGCTTTTTCAAAATCGTCTTAGAGGTACCAAGTGCCAGTGAAAGTCACCAGACTTGCTCAGCTGCAGCCCTCGGTCCTTACGTGGCGAATGCGACAATATAAATGAAATATACAAACAATATTTTCACAAAATACAATTACAGGAAATTTTTGATTTTTTTGAACAATTAATTTTCTTGCAGACGCATTGACATGGTACCAGACTTGCTCAGCAGCAACCTGTGCTCCTTACGTGGCAACGTGGATAGGTTTGCTTTCTCCGTGATCTGGGAGCTCACTGAAGATGGCATCATAGTTGACCACCGGTTAGTCTCTTGTGCAACTCGTGAACTTGCATGTTTATATATGCCTAACACCTGCACCTCACCAACGTTGATTTAAACAGCATGCAAAAAAGTACCATTATACCTACATTATATACCATTTCAAAATGAGCGTCTTGATGGCTTTTGTAAATACTCCTTGCGTAATAATTTTTTTACCTTGCTAAAATTTTTTGCCTAGCTGATGGTCGTCCACTAGGATGTTGAATAGGCGTGAAGATCCACTAGTCTAATTATTTTTTGTCATGTGCTTCATATGTCGCCACTGCTTTGCTTGTTGTTATGTGTGTTGTCTGCTGTGGTCAGCATGTTCGCATGAATTCAGAAAAAGAGTTCTCGTCAAGTATATTCATTGTCCATGCAAACATTTCGTTCGTTTTAGCAATAATTAGCATAGGTACTGTTTGGTGTGCAGGTTCTGCAAGACGATCATCTGCAGTCGTGGTGAGCTGAGTTACGAGCAGGCGCAGCAACGCATCGACGACCCTAACATGACGGACTCCCTCACTGAAAGCCTCAGGGACCTCAACTTCATTGCCAAAAAGCTTAAAGCCCGTCGGATAGATGATGGGTACGGATCTTCTTATACGCAATCAATGATAGCCATTGTTGTTTTATGTAATTCGTCAAGATCTCATTTATGAGTCACGAAGTGATTGCTGTTTCACAATGAAATTTAATTTTGTCAAGACCCTATTAATGAGTCATGAACTGATTGTTGTTTCACAACAAAAAATTTAATTATGAAACGGTAAAACGTATTGCATTTTTACAGCGCCCTGGTGCTGGCAAGTATGGAGGTAAAGTTCCACGTAGATCCTGAAACTGACAGCGTCGTGGACATCGTTGCCAAGCAGCACCTCGAGACTATGAGCATGGTGGAGGAGTTCATGTTGCTCGCCAACGTTACCGCTGCCAATACGACACTGCAGCATTTCCCTGACTGTGCCATGCTTAGACGTCATCCCGCACCACCCACTTCAAATTTTGAACCTCTCTTGCTGGCTTGTAAAAGTCAGGTGAAGAGACACCAAAAGACGAAAGATACCACGAATGACTTGCGTATAATGTGTTTCGAAGAGTTGTATCATGAAATTATTGTCTATATGTGGATTCATGAAATACAAATAATCGAAAACTGTTATTGAATTCTCACACACACTCTAGGTGTCCTTGTTCCAGTTATTGAAATGTATTAAACTGCAAATGTTACATCTCACGTTAATATTTTTTTCACTGCAGGCCGTCGAGTTGGACGTGAGCAGCAATAAAACCCTGTCTGATTCCCTGAACAAATGCGAACGCGAAGGCAACCCTTTCTTCAACTCAATGCTGCGCATCATGACTACCCGCTGCATGATGCAGGCGCTGTACTTCTGTTCTGGTACTCTCGAGTATCCCGAGTACTACCACTACGGTTTGGCAATGCCAACATACACACATTTTACATCGCCAATCAGGAGGTAATACTATACCATCGTGCTGCGCATTGCTATTAATTTGTGTGAGGCTGTAAGATCATATAACTCGACAATGAATCGTAGAGGAACTCGTGTATGTGATGTCCTCGATAGAGGAACTCGTGTATATGATGTCCTTAATTGCTGTTGAAATGGGGATTTTTGTGAAAATTAGTCTATCATGATTAGTTTCCATTTAATTCAATGGTTGAATTGCTTAGTAAACATTTTATGAATTGTGTTTTCATTACTGGAAGGTTGCGTTTGAACATGAAAATGGTCAAGTATTTTCAAACTTAGTCACCGCCGTCACAAATCTGAAGCATTATCGGCCTATTCGTGAATACATCAAGACTTTTAACGAATATGAACATTGCAGATATGCTGATATCATCGTCCACCGTTTACTGGGCGTGATCATTGATGCAGACACAACATATCCAGAGCTACTGGACGTGAAAAAGCAGACGGAGTTAGCCCAGCACATCAACTACCGCCACAAGATGGCTCAGTACGCTGGGCGAGCGTCTGGGGCCATCACCGCAGTTGTGAGTCATTTGTGTTTGCATATCAGTAAGCAACCCGTAAGCCATTCCATGGACGCACCAAATCATCTTTTCAACACGATTCAAAAATCTTTATCACTGAACATTTTCTTCAAAATATGGAGAGAATTTTTTAATGCAGGAAAAAAATATAATACGCATGCACAAGCGCTAGTTCTGCCAACATTTCTCAGTGTTTTTCCCAAAATAAATATAAATTAAAGTAATTTAATGCAATTTTCCATGATTAAAAATTGCTTAGCCCTCTGAAGTGTGTCTAATATGAACCAGTTGCATACTAGATCTTTAGGCCAGTTTTAATGTTATGTGATATCTTTCATAAATTCATAACAAGCCCGCAATTTGCTTTGACTGGCTAACTTTATTTCCTTGACATAATTTCTACGTTTTTCTTCTTCAGTCTGCTCTGAAGAACAAAACAGTGGAGTATGAGGCGTACGTGCTATTCCTCCACCAGAACGCTTTACAGGTAAGAGACTCTCTTAATTCATTATGAACAAATAATACTATGAAATATTAAAAGTACCGGTATAACGAAAAATATGAACACTCTAGTACTTCGGTAAGAACTACCATCGACTTAATTCAACATACTGCATATTATTTGTGAGGTATAAATTTAAAAAAAAAAAACGCTGTTATTAAAAGCACACTGTTGTTCATTGTTAACTTGTGAAATTCTGACTTTTTACTGTCTTCCACAGTTACTGGTGCCCGCCATAGGCCAGCAGATGACTCTGTATCTAGACTACCATGTGAAGGAGAGGAGGGCGGCTGTTAAATCCAAGACCGAGGAGCTCAGGAACAAAGGAATTAAATATAAGGAAGAAGAAAATCCGGAGCCACTTCCTGCCTTTGAATTTAATGAAAAGGTAAGGATGAGAATGTTTGCAGGTGCTACAAGACGTACTAACACAGTTTTGTTATGAATTTGACTCTAGTTCTCTATACGAATTTTAATGATCTAATTCAAAGAATCGTTTACGGTAGAACATTCGTGAGAAAGGCTACCGTACTATTGCTACGAAAAGCCTGTAACCACGATTTCGATGTAAATCTCCACATACACATTTATATAAAATGATTCCAAACAGCACTCTGAAGAGAAAATCAAGTATCCTTTAAATTGATTGAAAATAGTAGTACCTAGCATGTAATTATAATATTAACCGAAAAAAATACAAATTTTTTAGGAGTTGTACGTGCAATGCGGTGACGTTGTTCTACGACCATTCGACGAGGTGGTCATCCAAGCGACGGTGGACGCAAGTGACGTGCAGCATCAACGCATCGTCACCAAGCTAGTACGTCCCGTCATCGCAGGGTACTCAGTACCGTCCATACGCACTAGTGACGAACCTGATACAAACAAGCAAGAGCGATCCAAGAAACTGAAGCCTACAGCGAAAATAGCGAGCGACGAGGGTGGCCCTGAAGTAGCTGCCGCCGTTCGGAAGGCAGAACAAGAACCCAAGAAGAAAACCGGTAAAACTGCCGCCAGGAGAGCCATGCCGGAGGAACCAACCAAGAACAAAGTTAAAAAAGCAAAGAAGTAATAAACATTTCGACTTCTATCAGGAATGGATTTTTTTTTGTACCAAAGTCCGATATTTAAACAAAAGAACTTTAAACACCGATCTTTAATTTACGAAGAAAAAAAGCTGAAAAGTAGGTTCAAATCAAATTTTTTTCTTTCGCATTTAGCCATCAGCCGTATAAAATAAACTTTGAATTAATCAGGCTTTAAAAATTTTCAAGACTGAATGGATTTGAAATTTCACAAACATTTTCCAACGGACGTTCTGTGTAGCCAATTTCATAATAAAATTATTTTACGTTAGGCAACAGATGGTTAGTATCGCATCTATCTAGCCAATTCTGATCGAAGTACTTGTACGTATATGAGAATTTAAATAAAAATATGTATCAGATAATCCAACAAAGTTCAAACACAACAAAACAATATAGCAATTTGTTCACATAGAAATATTCTCAAATTGGCATGACTGGAAGTGCGGAAATTTCGTGCTTTTCTGGAAAAATTCTTATAACTTTTTTTAATGGTGTTGGTTCAATGCGGTTGCCACTTTGTGTCATTTGTTCACAAGAGAAAAAAAAATGAAATCACTTCCGTTATAAGAATCAAATAAATAGGCAATGGAGAGACCAAAGCATTGTCATCTCATCGGTCAATCAATTCTGAAACCCCCAAATGCGATAAGCTTCTACGTCACATTATCTACAACACTAGAATAATGAGAAAACACGGAACTACTTTGTTTTCTTTGAAGTTTCTTTTCTAATGTCGTCGCGAATGATAAAATATATTTCAGCCAGCGCCACTATCAGAGCTCCAATAATGCCGAACACAATTCTGGGGGAGAATTCAGGAACGACCAAACTTGAGCCAATGAATAGAGCGAAGAAGGTCCCTACGATAGACAGAAGGTACTGGGCACCAGTGATGAGATGCGTAGTCATTTCTTTGTGAATCTCTCGATATTCTTGACCTATGGTGGTCGCCGTGCCTTGTTTCAGCTGTGCAATGCTCTGTACCATTCGAGCGTATTCTCGGTTCTCTTGTTCCGCCCTCAGATTCTGTATGCGAGCTTCTAATTCTGGGTTGCGTGGAGGAGGCTCGTAGGTCGGCAGTAGAATTTCGCTCTCGTCGAGCAGCTGATGAATACGAAACTTCATTCCACGTTCCCGCATCCTTGCATGACACCACTTAATGTCGCTGGTCAAAAGCAGAAGTGGGCCGGGAGGAGTTTCCTCATCACTAACTTCGCTTTCTGATGCATTATTTTCGACGTCTCCCCTTTTATTTTCACCCGATTCACAAGAATGTTCTATCCGATCTGATTGCTTTTCTTTATTTTCTTGTTGCAATTTGATGACTGATTCTTCGTCTGCATCAGAGATTTCTAGAACAGGTTTAGGTTTCTTCTGATTTATCTTTTGGAAATGAAAGTACCGCACTAGCGATTTTGGGGCCCCTGGACACGTGTGAAGTTCTTCAAGAACTGTCAAAAAGTTCGCGGACGGACGAATTCTGACGAAATCCATACTTGTGTGCATAAAATATCTTGAAAATAACTAGCGTAATTTATTTCAATAAACAGAAAGTTACAGCGTCAGACGAGGATTAGAACTATTACCAGACTAGACAAAGGTAACTAATTTTAAGAATCGCATGTATTCGAAGAGTCGAGCTTTGCAAATTTTTCGCGCAGTTCTTTCTCCTTGAGGTCGTAGGCTGCGTTGATGGAAGCCAACTTCGCCTCGACTTCTGCTTTGGCCACGGCAAGTCTCTGCTGCCGATCTTCGCGTTGGCGCTCGATTTCACTGCTCTATGGTGCAATAAGTAATAATTCTTTGTGAGTTGGTACCGTACATCAAAATGGGTCTAAATATTTACCAATATCTTTGTTGATTATCTTTAGAATCCTGTCCTGAATGGTCAACATTGGAAAAAGTTATGGAAGCTGACAAATAAAAGATAAAGAAAAAAAAATAACTTCCAACAATTAAAGTTAAAGTAGAATATCTAATAGACACTAATTAATATTCAAACAGCATTCATCTAAAATTCTTGCTTCACACCGATCTTTATCACAAAATTCAACCAATTTCAGCTAATTTAAAAAGGGGGAAGACGAAGATTAAATACGGGTGTACTACATTCATGGACGAAAAAGAACATTCAAGAGATATGGCAAGGAAAGGCAGTACAAATGTGAATAAAGATAGCAAGAACTTTACAACCGGGCACCTATCTACGAATAGCATTGGTGCCGGCTATTCTATCCATAAAAAAAGTCTATATAGGTAAGTAATTTCCTTAATTAATCATCAGTTATTTTTTTGGCTGGAAAAGCCTGCATAATTCTGAAGGGAACTAACTAGTCGGGAAGTGCGGCTGTCAGAGTCCAGTGAGGTATGGCACATGCGGAGCGCAACTTGGATGTCGGCGATCGTGCGAGGGAGATTTGCGTCTGAAGCTTCGACTACCTTTTCAACCTGCACGTAAACACCTGTGTTATCTTGACAGTTAAAGTGAGGAGTAATTGGCCAAAAAATTGGCCAAAAAAATTAAAACTGGAATTTAATGATAAAATCTGTGTTTGCACTTAAATTATTATTAATTAATTATAACTGTACAAATTTTTGAAAATATACTTTACGGGATGATACAAGAAACGAATCACTATGTATCTCAAAAATGTGGTGTGCTCTAATGAGAATCCTTATATTTACTTGAAAATTATTTCATGTCTCGGATATAGTCAATGATACAAGACAAGAAAAATATTGACACATAGTAATTATCTCGCCTAGATTTATTGTTTATGCTACACCTACCTGGGCTTGCTTTATCTCTGTGGTTAACTCCAAAGCTCGGAAAAGCTCTTCAACTTCGCGATCTCCCCGCTTTTCCTGGTATAAAAAGCACGGTAGAAATAAATTCGTTTTGTTTGGAGTAGGTACCACAATAAACAAAGGTGATCAAAGCTTTAACTACTAAGTAAATGCTTTTGAAGAGGTGATCAAAGCTTTAACTACTATGGCAAGTAAATGCTTTTGAAGTATTTACAAAATATTCACAATATTGCATTTTTTGTACAGAACATGTAAAAATTACTGTTCCTAGATCCAGAGTATTTTTTTTTTGTAGAGTACAAGTAGCAAACTTACATAACAGGCTAAGGACAGTAAGAAGAAAAAGAGTCACACAACAATCTGCAGGATCAGCAAGCAAAAAAAATGTTTCACCTCAAATTCCCTCTTGAAAAATGATATTTCTCCTTTCAGGAATGGTCGATGATCAAACAACCGTGAGAAGACTTCTTCAACTTCTGAGGGAGAAATAAAAAAAATTCAATTTGGTTTAGAAAATCTTCCATTACCGAACACATTCTTTGGGAGTAATGCATATCACTTAAGGCTAAAGCCTCAAAGGGTTATTTATCTACTCCTAGAAAGCAAGAATTCTACCCAACCAGTATTGCTACATCAGACTGCATCTGATGTAGCAATGCTGTAGCTGTCAGTGTGTCATGTGACAGCTGAATTTTGTCCGTTTCAACTCACCATGACTTTGAGCATTTCTGAGACTACTGCCATAATAGATTTGATGAATTTGTTTGTGCAATAATCATATGCTGTTGCTGCAAAATTTCCTGACACCAAACTATGGAAATCAAGTACTTGAACATTGTTTAAAAAATTAAAAATGTGACCCACGAAAAAGAGCTATTATTTAAAGCCTGTCGGGCCCCTCCAATTTTTTCAATTTTTTGGCTGCATTGTAGAAGAACTCTTCTAGTTACATATGCAAAAGACAAATTTTAGGAAAGTGTCATAGTTTGCAAATGGGGGGTGCCGCCCCCCAATGGGGTAACTTTGACCACCTAATGGCAGCCATGACGGGGTAACATTGACCGGCTCGGAAATTAAGTTAAAAATACTATAGGTACCTATATGACATATTTTATGTTTGATACACCTATTAATGTTTTTTTCTTTATGTTTCAGACTCTACAGAGTCTTATATATGGTAACTTTAACTTAATTTTCAAACCGGTCAATGTTACCCTGTCACGGCTGCCATTAGATGGTCACATTTCGCCCATTTGGGGGTGGCGCCCCCCATTTGCAAACTATGACACTTTCCTAAAATTTGTCTTTTGCATATGTAACTAGAAGAGTTCTACTACAATGCACCACAACCTGGAGTTATTTGGAGTTATTTTACCAAAAAATAAATTTGATTTTACCACCCGGTCAAAGAAACCCCAAGAGCTGGGGCAACAAAGACCATCACTTTTTTTTTAAATTACATCAAAACTATGAGAGGCAGGAGCCAGCAATTTATGGTGAGTAAAGCTAGAGTATAGACCTGTATTTTGCATGTTTCAATTTAAGTTTAACTTATCTAGTAAAAAAATGGCATCATTTTGAAAAAAAGTGGTCAAAGTTACCCCATTTTACGGTATAGCTTATAGTTATAGGACTCAAAAATGAACTCTACACTAGAAGAAGAGACTAAAAGTCTAAATAAACTTCAAAAAAGTCTCTGCTTTGACACTGTGTCCACTGTCCAGGCTCCAGCACAGCAATGAGCAATAGATAAATGGGTGCACATGCACTCATCTTACTGGATTGAAAACAAGATCTTATATTAGGCCAAAAGATTCCAAAATCCAAATGAATTAAAAATTAGTCATTTTAGAGCTATAAGATTCTATTAATACAAAGGAAAATCCTAATCTTGCAGGGTGCAGTCCTGCTCTAATGCCAATGGTCAATTTCCACTCACTTTGATGAAATTTGCCTACTTTCTTTAGCACAAGCCACAAAGCCACAACCCACAAACTTAGGAAGAGAGACTCAAAGACACATTTTTGCCTCAACATCTGCAACTTACATGTAAAATGTTTACCTGCAATTTTTTAAAATTGAGCCCAATATTCTTGATTGGGCCTGCATTATGAGCAGTTTATCAAAATCATAATTATTAATTTACTTACTGTTTATATTGAAGTTGAATTTATCATTTTAGTGATATACACTATATAGTCACAATGTCACTGTCAGTCAGTCAGTCACTACTCACTAGTTAGTGACTAGTGAGCCTAGTGACCAAGTAGGCTAGTGACTACTGACTAGTAGGTGGCTACTGAAATTTCATCCTGAGAAGTGTAGTGTAATCAAACTAGGCAGGCAGAAGTCCCAAGGCACTTACTATATGAATAAACAAGATGAGAGACTGGAATTAGCGGTGGGTGAAGTGGAGAGGGATCTGGGAGTGATAATAGACGATAAGCTATCCTTCAAGGAGCATGTCGCTCAGTGCTCAGCAAAGGCAAACAAAGTCGTCGGCATCATTCGCAGAACCTTTGATCACCTAACCGAAAAGACATTCGTTCAACTGTTTAAGAGCTTGGTACGCCCACTTCTTGAGTACGGGCACTGCGTGTGGCAACCAGCACACAAGACTCTATGTAGTGATATAGAAGACGTCCAGAGGCGAGCAACAAAACTCTTGGCATCACTAAAAGACAAGCCCTACTCAGATAGGCTCAAGACGTTGAAGTTACCATGCTTGGAACACCGCCGGCTGAGGGGCGATATGATTGAGGTTTATAAATACCTACATGGCTACTATGATGTCTCACGCCCAAGTTTTGCGATGGCTACAGCGAGAGACCTCCGCGGAAATTCTCTAAAAATCCAAAAGAGCCACTTCAGACTGAACATTAGAGGTAACTTTTTCTCTCAGCGCATTGTCACAAACTGGAACAGCTTGCCAGAGAATGTCGTCAAAGCACCATCTGTGGNGCCATTCGATAGCCCTGCCAATCAGCTATAAAATGAGACTAAACTTGTTTATGAAATGTTTCATCGTAAGAAGTTATTAACTGTTATTTAAAACTAATCGTTCAAATCTGTCCCGAGTAGCCCCAGTTGACGGTAGTCTTGGTGAGACGAACAGGTCTCTGAGAATTTGAGAAAGGCCTCAAGCGTCTAACTTGTCAAGTCAAGTAGTAGTCACTACTCACTAGACTATGCCATGGTGTAGCCATACCCAGTAAGTTGAGTAACCCAGGTGTAAGCAAGCTCTTTGACATGACAATTTTAACTATCGTAAAATGGGGTAACTTTGACCACTTTTTTTTCAAAGTGATGCCATTTTTTTACTAGATAAGTTAAACTTAAATTGAAACATGCAAAATACAGGTCTATACTCTAGCTTTACTCACCATAAATTGCTGGCTCAATTAGGTATGATTTACATTTTACAATAAAAAATAATTCCTTGAAAATATGATATAAATTAAGCTACCTACAACATTGTTGAACATTCAACATTCGAATCAATTCACTTGACTTTCTTACCTGACGTAATAGCCATCAGTTTAAAATGGAACTAATTTAAAAGGCGTTGCACAACAGATTTAACAAAATAGGCTAACTGAACCGCGCGCACTGTCAGTATCAGTCAATGACAGTCATGTGACAGCTGAGTGGATTTCACTGAAGAGCGGATGATCGCAAGTCGCAACGACGCATTACGCAACCATAGTTGACCCAGGTTCGCAACGGTCAGCTGATAGCCGAACAGAATCATGGTTGAACCATATACTAGTTCAACCATGGAATAGAATAATATACGTTTAAAAATTACTTTTTAAAGACAACACTTCTTAAGAATCCAGTGTCTTCAATGTTACAGATGCACAATGAATTTCTCATATTATTTTCGGATATTAAAAAATTAATTTTTCCATTTTGTAATATATATATATATAAAATGTTGTTTCAAATTATTTATTCTGTCAATTGATTCATGCATTGCCTCCGGCTTCACACAAGTGTGCAGAATTTCAGATCAATTAGACAGGTAAAAGTATATCAAATATCAGTTATAAGATTTGTAGCTAATAAAATTATTTTTTCACTTTTTTTAATATTGAAAAAATTAATGTTTAAGATTATTTATTGTATCATTTGATTCATGCATTGTCTTTTTAGCATTATTATGATGAAATTAATTTTTTTATCATTGCTTTGCACACTTTGCGCAAGTGTGCAAAATTTCAGATCGATAGGATAAGTAGAAGTGTGTTAAATTTCGATTATAAGATTTGTAGCAGACAGACAGACAAACAAGAAGTGACGGTAAAGAGAAGTGTTGTAACAAAAACTGGCATTGAACGCTATCGTGTTCATTTGCAGATGTGAATCAATCAACATAAGCTTAATTGACATATTTCCTGGTGAAAATTGAATTTTTCTAGTCTTTATACGTCAACTTAATCACATCTTTTCAATTGAAAAAAATTCACATTTGAGGCAAACCTTTTGTTATTAATCCAGAAAATGATCGCCAGGTCAATCATACAGGTCATTTTTTTCGTCCAAAGAAAACGATTACTTATTCGCCACATGCGACCGATCACTTGTTCGCCACATGCAACCGATCGCTTATTCGCCACATGCACACGATTAATTATTCGCCATCACATACGATTAATTGTTCGCCACGGGCAAGCGATCACTTATTCGCTACCTGTGAGCGATCATCTATTCGCCACATGCACACGATTATTTATTCGCCATACACATACGATCAGTTATCCGTCACGTGCGAGTGATCACTTATTCGCCATGTGCACATGATTAGTTATTCGCCATATATATACGATCGATTATTAGCCTCCTGCAAACGATCAATTATTCGCCGCAATCGATCAATTATTCGTCAACTATTCGCCAATCAATCAACTATTCGCCACATACAAACGTACACGTATAACTCTCTTTGGATGTGCCATACTGATTTTTATATTGTGTTCTAAATTCCTGTAAAGAAAAGAGCACTTTTTGCCCCCTCGTGTGATGGTGCCCTCATTTTGAGGGTGACTTCGAATCTTAATTCCGCACCAAAGGATGGGCAACTCAGACGTCGTCCACCGCATGAAGATTGGGTCTCTATAAACAAAGTTAACGGAGCCTCACATACACGACATGCATACGACATTCACCATATGCAAACAAACAAGAAGTGAAGTTAAAGAGAAGTGTTGTAAAATAGGTAGGTATAAGACAGATATTCTACTGGGTCAACTGGCGGGTTCGACTTTCGATGGCGGGTGAATAAATATCCGTCCGTGAGAATGTGAGTTTTGCATCGATTGTTAAGAACCGCATCGACACTTTCGGCTCGGAATTTTACCTGGATTATTATCAGACATGTTTTTACCGCACTAAAGTTAACAACCTTCTAGAAAAAGCCGTTCAAGTCATACATATTGTGCGTCTTGTTTCTTATTTGATCTAATATCGCACGCAGTTATATGAACTTAATTAATAGTTCAGAAGAAAAATGCGTCTAGCAACAAATGAGTAGTAATAGTACGAGTAGTAGTAGTATGCTTCTAGCGCTTCAGAAAATCTTGATCTATTTCGCGCTGAAGATTTAGCGACTCTATTTACACAGCGTCATCGTTCCCGAGCGTTTGACTTGTAATTTAGTCCACTCGGACGGTAGATAGGTCGTAGTCAGTTTTTTACTGCCAGTGCGGATGTCCGCTCAAAAGTTCCCATCGCTCAGTTGAGCGGTGAAGGTACGATGTCGCGAGGATACGGCTAGTCACGAGATTAGTATGAGTGGCATCAAGTTAGTCTACTCAGGTTGTCTGTTCTAAAATTAGTTCGGGAAATCTCTCTTAGAAAGCTAAGGTTTCGTCTAGGTTCTGTACGGATGTACCGGGGAAGTGATTCATTCGGTCGGTGGTGCAGTTTGGGCACACCGCAATCACGCGGAAAAGACAGTCATTGCATATGGCATTGGGCGTTTTTCCATAAGGTATCTGCGGGTGAGGCGTGTGTGGTTAATTATTAGTCGACGACGCGATTTCTGGCAGTTCGAGTTCTAGGTTCGTATGCTGTCTTTCAGAGCTCGCAAGTCGCAACTTATATCCATCAAAATTCTGTCATTGATTTTGCAATACCCTACGGATGCCTGTTCTGATTATGGGTTAATAATCGCGGTTTGCGACTTCTTCATTGAAGATCGCCGTTTTCAACGAATAAAGTCATCTAGAAGAGATCAGAGAATTTCGAAACAAAGAATGTTTAATGTAAAAAATAAATATTAGGAAATAAATTGATAACAAATTGAATGTTCATTTCAAATGTGTTGTTGACACCCGTTTCTTTACATACGTTTTTACTTTGTAACGAAAATATTTAGCTCAGGCGTTTTAGCAACAAATGCCATGAGAGCGATAAAGCAGTCACTTATTATATATATTATCTTAATCAGCTCAGAACATACGACAATGTAGCGCTGCAACATAGAACAATGAGGCAACAAACAGTCGCGGCATCAGTAACAAGAAGGCAAAAGAAAATATGAGTTTTGGCCGATGCAAACATTTGCTAAAATTATACACAGAACCAAACAGGCATAGAAATGTAAGCATTCTTCTAACAGAAACGTGTCTTGAGACATAAAGAAAACAACTAGCAACTTAAGCAAGAAGATATCAACAGGAATAGCAGGAATGGATGAAGATAAGTTTAAATAACTCCAGTTTGACAGAACCCATTCAGCTGTCCAACAATAATTTATGAAAACAAAAATAGGATGAAATTAAAGAGACAATTACGAAAAAATCTTAAACCCTAAGTAAGAACACTTCCACAATCTAAAATCGGGCACCGAGAAAGCCCTTGCACTTATAATCGCAGAAAATAATAACTAAATTGATAATTGAGCATGGCAGTTGTAATGGAAAAACATTTCACCTTAACTGTAGATAAATAGATTTTTCGCCGTACGTCACAACACACACCATATGTGATTATAAAAGCAACAACTTTACTAGAAGTAGTTATGGAGTTAATAAAAATTTTAAAACGGTCAAAGTTAATATGATGGTATGATTCAGACCTCGAACCTAGAATAGATCATATATCTTATTCATCAAGTTAACAATAAAAGAATTAGGACAAATATTGTGATACGTAACTCCACGAGGAAGAATGACTGAGCAGCTTCACGTTATAGCTACCGAAAAAGATGGTAATGCAGACGTCAACTCTGAGCATCGCATAGCTGCCGAGTTAATAATAGCATGGCAAAGCTATTGCGTATCATATCTACCATATATGAAGGCCCGACTTTGTGGGTGAATTTTATGCAGTCAGAAGAGCACTACATCTATTCGCTATTTCACATACACAATTTGGTGCTGAATTAAATTCAAGCATGAACTAATTCCAGCAAATTATGCAGAAGTACGTAATATATACCTGACAGTGAAAGATGTAATTTTAATGACCGACTATACGCCTCACCTGCCAGGTAGGCGAACGATAACGTTCACAGGTGCCACTAAATAACGTCACACTAACAACTGTGATCAAAATATTAACTAACAACAACAAAATAGTTAATCAAGTTGCCACATTTTTGCAAGCGCTGCAGTCATTAAACTATCTCGCACCGCAAGTTAAAATGAACATCACCAACGAGGAGGAAGGTCTCAATTATTGAAAGTTTCCTAAATAAAAAATTGTTCATCACCCACAAGGAGTGAAAGCTCTCAATTGTCCAGCCCGCTGAAGCTGGCGCGAAAGAAGCAGGTTTAGCATCTGAAAGAGACGAAGTGACAAGGAGGGACAGGTGAACAGCAACAGAAACTAAGACACTCAAGTAGTAGTAGAATGGTTTGCTAGCGCTTCAGCTATCAAGCTATTTCGCACCGGAGATCAAAATGTAACATCGCCAGCGAGGCGGAAGGTCTCAATTATTCAAAATCTCAAATTAATTATCACCCCCAAGGGGCGGAAGGTCTCAATTGTCCAGACCGCTGAAGCTGGCTTGAAGGAAACAGCGTTAGCATCTCAAAGAGACGAAGTGACAAGGAGGGACAGGTGAAAAGCAACAGAAACGAAGACACTCGAACAAGAGGTAGCTTACACGGGACGTCGGCCGCCCGCTCCAGAGAAACAGAGAAGCGAAATGTAAATAATTATACCTACATTATAGCTTAACCCCACAACTGTGATACGCAGCCAGACAGCGGTGGGGAGCTAAGCCTCCCATCCCATAGACTTCTGAAGAGCAGACACGTGAATAACAAAATAAACTGGAGCCAAAACCAAAGAAAAACTTCATCTGAATCGATATTTCAGATAAAGTAACCCAAATAAACTGAGAATCCTGATGAGAAATTGAAGACGCATCAACAATAGCAATTTGGATAGTGAAGGCTTTGCGATTATCAGTACAATCTTTTGAGCATAATACGAGATTTCCTCGAATAATAAAGCATTTTAATTTTGCCACCAGAACCCATCTTCGAAGGGACTAACTTAAAAAAAAAACAGAAATAACATAACTTCTCAAGGCAGGACTAATTGAGTTATATATCATAATACTTATGTGTTAAATGCTTTTACATCAGACACAGCATTTTTGATCCACAAAAACTACTACACACCCGCGAAAAATTTCTAGATCCTCCCTAAAAATTTGTGAACAAAAACATAGCAATAAAATATGAGAAAAAGAGGTGAAGTAAAACCCGCTTATTAATGCATTTAACGTATTGAGTATAGACTTAGCAGCCATGAAGCTCATTGGCAGACGACCGTAGCACAACGCTCAAAGTGGAGGCACCATAGTGAGCTTGTGAGCAAGGCTGCGGCTACTTTTTGTGAGCTGCAATGTATTCAACATCAGAGACCTAACAAGGTTGTTGAACTAGATAATGAACAAATGTGCGTTTATAGGAACGCAAATAACAGATGAGAAAATCGGATTCTCGTTGGAAACCCGACTAAGATACAATTATTCTACAAAGCCCAACTAGTTAATTATACCAAGCCCAACTAACATACAATTATTTACACGATATAATCAAGGCAGGATAAAATCCATTATAGAATCAAACAATTAAAAATCATACGTCAACAAGTACTAGGACTCCCTATTATAAAGGTGAAACTATCGTAACCCGATATTGCATCAACAGGCTCATCGTTAATACAAGGTATTTAATTCGTTAAGTGGTAATAATTGGATGAACACACCTATGAACTTTTCCCACAGACGAGAACAATTCAAGTCACAAACAGCGGTCATGATGCACTAGAAGTCTCCAAACTAATGTCGGTATTTCACATACGCAGCGCAGAAATCAGAGCTCCAGGCGTTAAATTTTCATACGAAGATAACAAACTTATATAGAAATCATCAAACCTAGAAACTTACCTTGTTTTGTTATCTAGAGCTTTTAATAGATTTTAGTACATCCCTAGGTATAATTACAATTATTGCCATCAGAATTTACATGCATGATGTCGCAGAAGAATCCGGTGCTTTCAGAAGTATAAATTCCCATTTACATCTCAATTGCATTTTTCCTAGACATGACAGTGCCATTTAGTTTAAATGAACCTTGCTATCAATTTATTAGTATCCGAGTCTCACGACAAAAATCACAGACAGTTTTGCATAGCAGCTTAAAAGAATTAATTTGTAACAACATTATTAACGTACAATAAAATTACCCCTCCTTAGCCCTGCAGTGGTCGCGTGCAAAAACTTTCCAGATTGGTCGCCTTTTCGGGCGGTTTAGTTACGGCCTAATTTAGTAGGCGTGGATTACATACGGTATGTAATCCACGCGTCCACAGCAGGGTTAATCTATGTCATTTTTGCAGACCTTTTTATAAAAAAATTTTTAATACCGAATAAAATCAGATTAAGTTAAAAAAATAAAAGACATATTAATTAGTTTGTTCAGGGCACAAACTTTCATTCATAAAAGATGAGTAAAAAACCGACTAACGGAGAATGGTAAATGCAACAGCAACGGTAAGAAAGTTGTCAAGCATTTTTACGACCTCAAATGATCTACTCACACATTTATTGCAATGCTGTAGAATATAAATAACTAATATTAATACCAATACCGAACGATAGTATGAATAAACTAGTAACTTCTCAGAAGCCGACGTAAATCTCACCAAAAGTTAAGGACTGAACTGCAAACAATGTAATAATTTTGCAGAAGTTTATAGTTATAATTCAGTACTACTAGGCATTAGCTGGACGTCACGAGGTAAAATTTTAGATCCAAGGTAATTCTTCAAACTAAAAAGAAACGTCGAGATTTTGTAAGCCGTTAGCCGAGATACAAATGTCCCTAACAAATTTTTAGAAAATTGAACTGTCAGCATAACAGGGCATAAACTTGAAGTGAAGAGGAAGTGACCAATTAGAATTCAACCAAGATGTCAAAAAGACATACCAAGAACAATGAAATTGCATCAAGATACATAATACTGGATTAATTTTCAAAGAGAGAGGAGATACGAATAATTTAACACATTTTGTAAGAGATAAACAAGCCGCTATGACGAGTTTTCGAAGGCAGTATTGTAGGCGTAGTAATTCTGAACTCCAGAATACAGAGGCAACGAGTAGCTGTCTTCGTCAAGCTCCACCTGAGAATCAAAATTGAAAAATATAAAATTTACTTGCTGATACTATTAATAGATAGACATTAGACCAAGTCAGAGTAGAACGGGAATAAGTTGAAGGGAAATGAAAATTTCTTGTCAATAGATGCAAAGGTTGAGAAAAATTTCCTTTAAAGTAGCGAATGCGTTTCTTTACTCAAGATAAAGGCCATAACAGAAAGCAAGTCTAAAAAGAAAGTTAAAAACAATGACAAAAATAATAAAAAAAATAATACATTGTCATCAGCCAGGACAAACACGCGAGCCAAAGTGCTTTAACAATTTGGACAAAGACTCACCCATTTCCCTGAGTGCTTGGTCATGTACCTTGACAAAAGGATGGTGCAGGAGCGATGACGCCGTGGCGCGCTCCTGAGGGTCGTGGACGAAGCACCGGCTGAGGAAGTCGTGTCCTTCCTTGGACAGCGACGGCGGGTACGCGGGGCTTTGGCCCATGCCAACCCTAGGGGAGAGGTAAGCGTCAAGACTGTTGTTTCATGGATAAATAAACATGGATTTTAAATAAATAAATCAACATGGATTTAATAGTCGTCAAGACCGGTTTTTGCATGGATAGCGAGTCAACACTCAACCTTTTGTAGACGGGTATACAAACCGTCACCGATGCTATTCGTTTATAAAGTCATGGTAACTAGAGGTACGTACCATAAGTAAATATAAAAGGCTACCATTCATCTTTGTTTACATCGTGCTTTTCGTACATTCAAGAAATAGTAACAGGAGTTCCAGTCGGACTGGTGAATATTACAGTCAGTAAGTCTTTTGTCGACGAATATATTGACGCAGGTCAATGCAATTTATACCCTTTTAATCCGGAATTAAAATAACGGAATTTAATAAAGTTAAAACAGAAAACGCTCGTGAAATTATTAGGTATATAAATTTCCTGCAAAATAAACACAACGCCTGCAAAGATTCAACAGGATAACAAGATCACACAAAACCTGCGTAGTAATCTCAATTGAATATTAAAATAAAAGTAATAATAATACTTAAATGATTTATAAATATTAATCTGACTTGAACATGATCTGCGCGCTGTTGTTGAGCTCCGGCCAGGGGCGCTTGGCGGTGCACATCTCAATGATGACGCACGCCAGCGACCACACGTCTGCTGCCCGCCCGTACCCTCCCTGGGACTGAGCGACAATCAATAATAATCTTCGCTTATATCATAACGCACATATATCCAGTATTTCTACAGATCTGAAGGTGCATTGGACATTCAATCTTACTTACTATTATATATCGCATCTAGAAATAATTCAACTCGAATAAACAAAAGTGAATTTAACTCAACCGAATTTTCTGGAAACTCTTACTATTTATAAATGAAGTAAACATTTTCTTGGTGAATTGCAAGCTAAAAAAACTACATATAGGTACAGAAATCGACTATAACTATAAGGTATGAATGGCAAGTTGAATCAATCATTACTCTAATATATGAATTAAATAGAACTGCAGGTATGAATTGCAAGCTGAATAAATCATACATCTTAATTAGAAATTTATTAAAAATAGCATGCTGAATGCATCATGCATCTAAAATTTATATCAACGAAATTTCATATATAAATTACAAAGTAAATAAATCGTACATATAAGACATAAATTATTCAAAACAGCAGCAGGTACCTGGAATATTTCGGGCGCCATGAAGGCGTGGGTGCCAACTATTCCACCGAGTTCGCCCACTTCCGTTCGGTCACCGCGCAGCCGCACGGCGCATCCAAAGTCTCCCAACTTAAGATTGTGGCTGTCTTGTGTTAAGAAAATGTTCGCTCCTTTGATATCCCTGTAAACCATTAACATTTATAATACCATTGTGAAAAGTAGCTATTCATGTAAACCATCCCCATTTACAATACAATTATAATATAGTGAATAATAAAAAATACATTAGAATATCTCAAGATAATTTAATATGTAATCGTTATTCAAGAGAACCCATTGGCAGGGAGATAGCAAATGCTCGCTGTGAAGGTGCCCTCGAATAATGATAAGATGAAAAAATAAAACAATAACATTCAAATATCAGGCAATCATTCGAGCTATCATAATCATTTAAGAGACCGATTAGCATGATGGCATCAAAGCTACCTGTGTTTGACCTCCCGGAATTGCGAGGCAGATATGTCATTACTTAAGAGACCGCAGTGGCAGGATATCAAATGCCTCCTGTGGATGACTCCACGGTCGTGAAGAGTATACATATTATTGTCTAAGATACCCTATCGACAGAATATCATGTGCAACCTGTGAATGACTCCCCGGTCGTGAAGAGTATACATATTATTGTCTAAGATACCCTATCAACAGAATATCCTGTGCAACCTGTGGATGACTCCCCGGTCGTGCAGGGCGGCTACCCCGTCCAGGAGCTGCCTCGTGTAGCGGCGCACCATCTCCTCCGGCAGTCCCACCTCCGTGCTGTAGCTCAGGTGTTCCAGCGTGCCTTCCTCGCAGTACTCCATGAAGAAAAGTAACTCGTCCTGAAAAAAAACACTCTCATTAATAAACATTACTCAATATAAAAATGTATTTATTAAACAGTGCCCAATATGATAACAGAAGCTCTGTTAATCCTTAAATATTACTGAATATGACTCACAAACAAGTTTACCTGTTTTATATAATTGCTGCAGTCGAGTGAAAAAGTTATCCATTTACTTGTATACTCAAGACTAGTGTCATTGCAACGGTGAAATCAGTCTCAAATATAGAACGAATTTTTATTATTCAGACTATACTATATAATACTATATATTCAAGACTGGTGTAATTATTGCAAATGACGCGGATTGAATGGAATTAAAACCTAGTTTGTGCAAAATGAGGATAGTATCAAGATCCCAGAACTGTTCCAGGAAATTAGGAATTACCTCGAGTATTTCCATGCCGTAATACTTGACGAGATTAGGATGGCTGAAGCCCTCGAGTATGCGAAGCTCCTCGACCATCTTGGCGACGAGTTTCCTGTCAGTGTGTGACACAGGCTGCACTTTAACTGCCAGCAGTTCTCCTGTGCTGTTGTTAACGGCTGTGTACACCTTGCCAAACTGCCCCGAGCCTAAAGGAAAAATATTAGGAGATTATCTTTGGAAAAACATAATACCGAGGAGCGCAGAAATCCAAATAAATATTAGAAAAATTCCTTATACATTTGACTACAAGCATTTCGCCCTTATGAGCTAAAATGGTAGGAGGTGAAGATTCAGTACTAAGGATTCCAAGATTCAGTACTAAAGGCCCAAGTATGCCAATTACTTCTCGATTAAATGAATTACAAATTTCGGATATGAAATTATCCGCAATAAATAATTAATAACAAGACCGCCTATAAAAGGAGTAGGTATCACAACAAAACAAAAATAACCTGTCAATCGTATAGAACTTTTATAAAAACCTATTACACGGACACAATATCCTCCCCTTTAAATACAGTGTCAATTGATTTAAATTCACCGATTTTGAAGCCCCGATGCCAAGAGAAGCCAATCGTCTTGGATCGTGTTTGGGGCGACAAGTCCAATGCATGTGACGGAGGAAGCGAGACAACTTGACCCACAGCCTTGCTCTGCTGTCGCTTTTGCTGAAGCTCTTGCTCCAGACGTACGACAGCGTTGCGCACTCGTGCCATACCTCGGCCTGGTGATCAAGTTTAAAGGAACTCATTCATTTGTATAAAAGAACTACCAAGGCAAGTTTGATATAGATCTATCAACGTCAGACTACTACTCAGTATTTTGACATTAGAATAAGCCTTATTAGGCTTTTATGTAGTACAGCATTGTGATTAATCATGAAGTAAAACACTGCGTTCAACAAAAATTCAATTATTTTTTTTTAAATTACATTTCAATCCCATGCTGAGTAACTCTTAACGCATTTGACACTAATTTTAGATACATTGATACTTAAATGAATTAATGGAACATATTCAAATGCTTCCTCTGACTCGCCACATGTAATTAATTGACAGTAAAATACTAAAATTCTATTGTTCATTAGATTATAGGCATTACCGTTGACCGATTGTATTTGTTTAATACAGTAAAAAAATTCTAGTACTTATTACCGCTGACCGACCTGACTGAGCTCGTGACCACTGCACCGCCGCAGACGATGCTGTAGTAAAATCAGGACCCAGACGAGAGTCGATGTACGGCATCCACGTGGACGGCGAGTCGCTCGCGCTTCGGGTGCTCGCAGAAGATGACGTAGATCTGTGGCGCAAACTAACTTTTAGCAACCATATTTGCTCACTTAGTAAAACGCAATAAACTGTATAAAAAGCAATGAAGATTTTTCGAGCTTAAAGGTAGGAAACACAAATTCTGATGCGATATGAAATTTCAGAGAGTTAAAACTTATATCTCAAAATGTTGACCGAATCTTGGCTACTAGCTTTGGCCGCGTACCAGGAGCAACAGGAGTTATAAACTGGTTATAGTGCTATCCTGCCCTAAATTTTTATTAGATTGCCAACTAAATTTTCTAATTTGAGCAGTCAGATATCGTAAAGAAGGAACACATGAAGTGCAAAAACACAAACAAGGGATAAGTCAGCTCATTGAAACGAGCAATAATTAATGTATATTAAATGAAGCAGGACCTGAAAGGCCTTCTTGTGGCATTGGGCGTGATAGGAGCAGAAGAAGGCAGGGAAGCCTCAGGCTTCGCGACCCCCACCACGTGATGGTAACACTCCTGCACTTCGTTCAGGAAGGACTGCGCCGCATGCTTGTGGACGTGACGCAGGTTCTGGGGACTGCACGAATACAACAAAAAGTCCAGCCCATTGGCAGACCAGCGAGGACGGGACCCATTGCCAGGAGGGTAGTGCTGCTGGCAGAATTTGATCCAGGACTGTGAGAAGGAGACGAGATGCGACACAATACGAGTCTGCTCGCTGGCATTGCTGCTGCTGAAGAGGCGGCATACGTCACGGTGGTACTGCAACATCAGCACGTTTGGCGGTAACATCACAGTGGTAATATGTCATACATATTTATTATCATACAGTTAGACCATAATTGCAACGCTGGTAATAAAATTATTGTTAATTTATATTTATCAAATGGTACCTCGAGTTGAGTGAGAACAAATTACTATTAAGAGAATTAGAGATGCAATAACATTGAAAAATTGAAAATTTTCTGAAGCATAACTCATTTAATTTCTTAGATAATGTCCAAAACGTCGACAGCGATTCCATGATATAGTTTTAAAAAATAGCCACATTATAGAGAGACACACGTGAAAAAAATAGCCACATTATAGAGAGACACACGTGAAAAACGAATAGCATGAAATCTCATGTACATTAACCCCCATTTGAAGTACACATCACACCTCAAAACCGAAGGAGTAAAGTTGCTGCAGTACGTCTCGAGTGATGCCGGAGCTTGTAGCAGAGGCGGGGGAGTGCGGGCTGGGAGTATCATGGGCAGCACCAGGCTCGCTAGAAGCTTGCTTGGCTCTGAAGGACGCGGTAGCGTCTGTAGTGGCCTCTTCTCCAAGGTTGCCTTCGAGATGCAAGAGTTGAGCGACGACTGTCACACACTTGCCTAACCGCCCGCACACCTCCAAACACACAGCCTGTGGGAGAATACAGATACTAAATTGATATTCTCCAGGTGCGTAGGAAAAAAACACGAATTACACGAATAAGACCTTTTCAAACATGAGGTCTATCAACCGCTCATGAAAGAACAAAGTTTCAAGTTCACTGCTTAAAAAATGTTCCGTTTTGGGCTTTAGGTTTGAATACACTGCTAAATAAGCTAGTCTAGCTAAACAAAATACGCGAGAAGTAAAATACATCTTGAATTTCATGGCAATATTATTGTCGAATATTTACTAATCTCTTTACAGAAAACGGAAGATGGTTGCAGTGAAAAAGTGGACAGTTTAAGTTTGATTGTTCGAGGATTCAGCATGTCACAATGCAAACTGAACTGGGACGACTGATAGTGGATATAGCGGAAAAAGCGAGCAGCTTTTGGCACATACACTCATGTTGGAAGCCATATCTAGGATGTCAATGTAGGATTTCAAGACGAGGAAAATACAGCGGATAGCTTTACAGTGAGAGGTTCTATAACTTTGCTATCGCTGGAAATCTAACATTAAAAAAGTATATATTGAATTATGCGCGTAACAGAAAATAAATATTGCTGAGAATTAAGTCAAAAAACAAACTTTAAGCGCAGCAAGAGCAGCATTGACGGCAGCGTGGGGCACAGAACGCTCGTGGAGAGGGAGCAGCAGCTGCGAGGGTAGCACCGAGCTCAGGTAGCCCAGCACGGTGCCTACAGACGAGCTGCTGCTAATGGCCACAGCATCGCATGTCTGCCATATAACAATCATTTTAGGGAGAGAAATAGTTAAGCTTTATCACTAAATATTATGCACACGTTTGATAATGAGGGCAAATATAAAATTGATGACATTTATAAAATTGAGAACCATTTACAGGATGGCAACATATAAAAGCTCAGCTACTTGCATTAAAGATTTCCAGCAGGGACACGATGTATGCAATACTGGTGGCTTTGCCAGATTATTGCTTGATTGTTGGGATGCACTTTTATAGTGCCAAAATAAAGAAGAAAACGATTTACTGCGTGGCAGTAAAACAAAGTTGAATTCCCGGCTCATCTAAATGTGAAAACATTCCTTGCATATTTCTAATGGACAAAGAAGAAATAAAAACAACGAAATTTATCGAAGGGGAAAAACTGAGTGGACAAAATGCGTTCAAACCTGAAGAGAGGAAAGTGCAATGGTGGCAGCAGCCGTGGGCTGGAGTCGCACGACAGGGCCTCTCCAGGGGAGCTTGCGGGAAAACTTCTTGGCGGCACCGACGCCGGCGTGAGATTCAGCACAGGACTCGGATGGCACTGACACTTGTATGCTAGAAGAGTCACACGGACAAGGAACAGCAAGAGGCGGGGAGGAACTGTTATTGAAATCAGCAGGGAAGAACGCCGCATGAGTTGTTGGTGCGGCAGACGTGGCAGTAGAAACACTCCCTTCACTGGGCATCCATGCATCAAGTCTAAGCAGGATGAGGTACGCCAGTTTGTTGTTATCAGACGAGGAACTAAAACTGTTACGAGGCACGAGTGTAGCGGAAGGAAAGGGTCCTGTACCATTTGTCTGCATCACAGGCGGTGGGACGACGAGGAGGGGCTTCGTCTGTGATGACGGCGACGTCAGTAGCAGCGACGGTACAGGAGGCTGCTCGGCCACGTTTGCGTTCATGCGGTGCTCGTCTGGCAGCGGCGTGAGGCTCAGAAGTACCATGATGGAGTCCAAATCTTGTGCCAGATGACCTGTGTAAAACAGGTAATTCGTTCAATAAAAATTCGGTTCAATAACGTTTCAGATTTTACAACCTAGCGGTGTCAATAACGTTTCAGAATTGCCCAATCTAGCGTTATGATATTCAAAACAAGCATATGGAGTCCGCATCTTGTGACGGAATGGAATAAGTAAAAACAGAATAATTGGTATCTTCGAAAACGTGACGGTATTTACCAACTTGACGGCGTGGGATTCAAAATAAGCAAATTAAGTTCACATATATATTGCGACATGTTAACTGCGCAAATTTTGAGTCGAAGTATTTTCAGTAACAAGACGGAATAAACCTTCTAATTAACCTTTTTATAAAATATATAACATCCCTCTAGTACACAAACCCGTATAAACAACATCACTAGCATAATCATCACTAGTATAATCTCGCACAAGAATAATGATCTAGTTTTGAACAAGAAACACGGAGCTAAGCGACATAAAAAGCACATAAATTTTGTAATTTAAAGCATTTCAAATTAAATGAGAAAAAGAATTTTACTCCAGTAGTTATCATTCCGAACTCAGGCGTCAAACAGAAATTTAGTAAAAGAGAGACACAATAAAAAATGTCAAATCTGAATAGTTTACTTCTTGACGCTCAAACTTACAAGTGACGATATTTAAAAAAAGTACGGTACTAAGTTTTGACGAGTTAATGAGTTGAGAAATTGATTTAATAGAAATCAAATACAATAACGTTCTAAATTTAGTGACAAACCAATATATTTATTTTGAAAGCAGCGTAAAAATCAATTACTGTAAAGAGAATTTCTGTAAATTATATCTACTCGTATAAAATCATTCATAAATTTCAGGAAATCTCGGGCCTAAAGTCCAAGCGTAACACACCAGGCGCGAAGACTGCATATCTTGGGTCGATGCGGTCAAGTCTGACGTGCCCCGTGCAGCGCAGTGCCTGCAGGAGGCGCTGAAGGGAGGCGCTCGAGTGCCGTTTGTACTGCACAGCGACCTCGAGCTGATGCTTGAGGGTGCGGGCCAGAGCGAGGGCGCGGCCCATACGACGTCGGCTCCCCGACACTACCGAGTGCAAGCGACGGATTTCAATGCGCGACAGTTCCCGTCTGCGGACAAGATCCGGTAAGTAACACCGTAGTACAGAACGTTGCACATAATAACTTAGCGCATTAAGGTTTGACCGTCTGCGTACAAGATTCGGTAAGAAACACCTTGACAAGAGTAAGAACTTTGTACATAAAAGTTTGACCGTCTGCGTACAAGATACGGTAAGTAACACCTTGACAAAGGTAAGAACGTTACACATTACTTAAGTAAGAGTTGACTGAGTAAGAATATTTAGCAAGAACGTTGCTGGAGAGCTTGAATAACTTGATAGGAGTGTCTGAACAAGTGGAGAAGCGAGTCTGAATAAATTGAAAAGGTAAAACCAAAATGACTTCAACGGATTTATTATGTTAAAACTTTCTTATTTGATGCACAAAAATGCACGTGTCTGGAAAACGCAAAGGAAATTTCGTTTTATACAATAGTTCACTTAAATGAATGAAAGTAGTCTGGATACAGTACAGAGGAAAATTAAATGAAAGTTTACAATAGATATTTATCTCACTTGCAATTAGGACGGAAAGACTCTTGCGTAGTTGCGGAAGATAGAGAACTCATCACAGACGAAATATCGCCACTCAATTGCCCCCCTGAAAAATAAGCAACAAAGTGAATTTATATAAAAACACCTCCACACATCAGAAACACTATCAGACATGTAAATATCAAAAGTAAATTCAAATTGCAAAAGAGGACATCAGTAAAAATTACATCTTATTGAGATATCGCCAAAGCTTTGAGATCCTTTCTCTAGGAGAAAGTCAGAGGGGTACGGTAAGTAAATTTCTGAATTCGGTCTCCAGCTCGTCAAAATCGAAGGCAAAATTATTGTGTTTAAATTATTGCACTTCATTAAATACGAATATCTTTGTCACAAATTTCAACAAACTCCCATTATTCATTTAAAAGTTGAAACAACGTTCAATTATTCCAATCACATAACACAAAGGATCGTGGTGATAATAATTACAGTTTTATAAAGAATAATTTTTGGATAAGGAGATAAAAACACAACTGCAACTTACGTTCCGATGATTTAAAATGATTGGAACAGAGGATCGGTTGGAAAACTTGACAATTCAACAATAAATTTTTCAACATATTTCCATGCAATTTAATTGATGCTGCAAATGCAAGCTCGTCTATGCCGCTGCTGAGGCTGTCCCAGGCCTCCTTCACCAGCAACTCCGCCAGATTACTGAGAATAACAAATTTTTAACGCCATTCCTCTCATTATTTCAGTAGTTAGTTTTCTCTAGTATCTTTCATAGTCGTTAACTATAAACCAACGTAACAGAACCTATAAAATAGACTGTAAATATTCTTACGGTAAGTTTCCAAATCCAAAAGACAAAGAGAACCTGGGAACTTGACTGACCAGAAGCGAGTGGCGGCGAGTGTGTAAGCGTGCAACACCTGCGGGCAGATGCTGCACACAAACTGCCACTCATGCAGCAGACCACTCGTGTTATCCTCGGCACTGGAAGCATTCAGCAAGAAGTTGCTGCCACCGGAGACCGGGATGTAGAGATCCAGCCAGTCAAGATACACCTGCGACAGAGTCATGAAATCAATTATGTTACTGTAAAAATATAGAAAGTTTAACATAAAACCCAATAAAATTTTTTAAACACTTAGCAGGAATCAGTACGTAGAATCAACTTGATTTTATAACACTTTGTTCACAGAAACGAAACCACCCGGTCTATATAAACATATCAACATGTGGACCCTGATCTAGAAACAAGGATCTGGCCCAATTGTACATGCGGATATAACAAGTGAACCCACACTACTCCATACACGACACCTTCAGGAGCGTTTCTATGTTGAAGTCAAGGTCTTCCAAAAGGTTCGTCTGGCGCCGGCTGAGTTCCTTGCGAAGAGCTTGCAGCGTTTGCACCGCGGTCGTAGGGCCTCCATTTTCACCGCCTCTACCAGTACTGTAACCTGTTCCGTCAGATATTATACTAATAAGAAATAACCGGCGAAATCGTCAATTTTTGGGGCTTGCTGACAAAGTCATATATAAATGTTTGAGTGACAGTCACTTTGAACCTGGTTAAAATGTCAGAGGTGTTTGTTTCTTACGGTAATATTTTAGAACGAATTTCAAAATTTTTCTAAGGACAAATAACTGAAAGCTTCAAAATTGATCAGTTTAAAGTTTAAACACTTGCCTGCCGATGATGAACGTTCACTTGACTCGGGAGATGTCAGGGCGACCCCTTCGTCAGTAGAATTGAGATCCACATTCTTGACAGTATCTGAGTGCAAGTTTGTGAACCTAGTATCAGTATCCAGGAAATTAGAAGAGAGGTCATCGTTAAGCCGCGTCACTGGAACCGTGGGAGAGACCGAGTCTTGCAAGTACGTTGTCGAAGGAGGGATATTTACGAAGTCGCCATGTCCGGCTTGCAACTGCTGCTCATGTTCATGGGAGCAAAGACCGAGATCAATGTCATAACCTTCACCTGAAAGCCGTCTGGTGGCCAGTTGTTGGGCTGTCGAAGGATAGCCACTTAAAAAAATATGTCCAGAAGCTTCCTGTGCAGCCAAGGGGGCAAGGGGCGATAAAAGAGGGGGAGCCTGTATCGATGGTGGAGATGATTGATCAGAGGATCCACCCTGAGGATAAGCATGTACGAGGTTAGGGCGTGCAGACGTATGTGACAAGGTCACGTGTGCAGATGAACGCATAGGAGACGCGGGAGCGGAGAACGATGTCAGGACAGAGCCATCAGGGACACCGAGATGTCGCGAAGAGCTGCTGCCACTGACGTGACGCGGAAAACCAGGACCTCCAGGTGTAGGAGCGCTTTCTCGGCGCTGCGCTTCACCTGCACCACGACCTGTAGAAGCCGTGCTGATGCTCGACGAGCGGTACTGACTTGCTGTCGAGACACGGCGTCTTTTGAGAGAGCTCAGATGCTGCGCCATGGCTCCACTCCAGCGCAGGAAGCGACGCCGAACAGTCACTGCAAGTCTCAAGCCCTCACGACACTCGCGCACAAGCTAACGCAAAACATTATATACACTGAATTATTTCAAGAGAGTATGAAGCGAAGAGCGGCTAAGTGAACAGTTTAAGAAATCCTATTAGAAACGAAAACCATAATCAGGTTAAGCTGATTTTTTGGAAAGTGAGTGATTGTGACATTCGAAAAAGTAAAGGGCACAAAAATTTCGAAGATTCAGATAATGAGTGCACATTACAGTAATCATCATCCAAGGTTTTGGGGAAATTCAATTTTGAATTTATTTGTCTCATAATTAGCAGAGCAAAACTTGCAGAAGATCAATTGATCCTACTTCAAATTTCTGCATTGAATGGATATTAACATACCAAACTATTTTCCAGAAAAGCACAAAATCAACATAAATATATTCTGCGTGCTGTGTCTATACCTGACGTATGCTGAGCTGCGAAGGCTGCTTGGGCATTTGACTGAGTCTAAGTCTGAGACACTCGCACACGAGCAGCACAGGAACTGAAGACAGGAACCAGAAGAGGCTTGCAACCCCAGGGAGCCCCATCAGCCACATGCGCCCACTCCAGCTACACGTCAAGAAATTCCGCGCACCACAGTCAGGAGGACAACTTCTCGCAGCGTTTGGTTTGGAGGTGCTACCATTTGGGCTGTCGTTACCGCGCTCACTAGTACGGTTTCCCGTAGCGTTGCTTCTCTGATTCTCTCCATCTGCACAGAAAGCTTAACTTTTAATGCTGATTTTGTATTTTGATCAAAATGTTCGACGCCTTGCTGAAAGCACATATACTGTGTTTACTGCGTGTGAGGCATCTGGCCGCTAGCAGTCTGTAGGGATGCCTAGAAGGGAAGTAGGAAACTCAGCTCAAATGTCGATCTATCCAACTACAAACAAATTTATGGACTATCAGCTGTTACAAGTAGTAGGTAGTATTATAAGTTTTGCCAGCGCTTCAGATAGCTATCTATTTCGCACCGGTTACGCTGGTTACGTCCACGCTATCTGATCTCTTAATTTTTCCAGGCTTGCAGCTTATACGACTAACGATGGAAACGACTAACGCGATCATTTTCATTTAGGCACAAGGGTTGGGAGGGAAATTCTTTGTTCACGGAGCGAAGGTCTGCTGCGGCATCATGCACAAACTCCAGTATCAAGGAAGTGGGGCTCGATCTGGGTGATGGGCTAGGTGTAAATGCAGTTTCGCGCCACATGGCCGACAGGCGGTGCCATCATGGGATCATATGCTATATCTCTGGAAGTGGGTTGCATTCTATCAAATATCGCGTAAAGTTGTCGGTTCTGAAGTTGCTTCGCTGGTCCTCCCTTGGCATTCTGAGGAACGTCTCGTCATGGTGAAGAGATGATGTGTTGGGGTAAAAGTTTTGTCGGATGACGCTGTGGCTAGCACACTCCGCTAAGACATGCAGTGCAGTCAAGGGCACCAGGCAGTCGTCTCAGTAGGGCATAGGGCAGCGCTTAATCAAGTAGCCGTGGGTGAGGCGCGTACGACCATTCCTCAGTCTACATAGCGTTACCTCCATCTGTAGGGATCTCTGGTACGATGAGCTACATGATGATATGCTGTCCTTGAATTTCCTCAGTTTATCGTCTCTCGTGTTCAGCCACAGCTCGCGCAATATATGGCTAACGCTAGCCGTGATGTGGGAGTGGTGGTCGTCGCATAGCACGTCCTCCCTGTAAATGGCCACGTCCGACAAAGCAGCGCCCGCCGCCGCTTCATCCGCCCTGTCGTTGCCACGTACCCCCACGTTCCTGGGAGATAGCAAATGCTTACTGTTCTCCCCGCCTCCGCCAGGCGTACAAGTCCAGACACAATTGCCTCGGCGACACGATGCAGGCAGCTGTATATTCTCAGGACTTGCACTACACTTTTAGAATCAATAGTAAATTGATGCGTTGGAACTCAGTCGTCTTGATATTGTGGTCGGTCGCACACCCCAATGCGCCATCTGATTTTGAGCCGTCAGAGTATATATGCGTCGAGTTTGCATGCTTTGTCATTGCGTGGTCCAAGAAAAGGGTTTTCACCGTGTTTGCCTGTAAGGCTGGCTTCAGTAGGAAGTTTTCATCCGGACAGAAGGTGCTGATGGGGATTCGGCCCGTGGGAATGTCCTCGAACGTGACGGGCAAAACCCACATCTGTTGGAACTGTGCTGCTATAAAGAGTGCTCCATGGTCTGCAGATGATGAGATGTGTTTAGAAGGTATACCGTATGTCGGAAATACGAGTAGTTAAAAATTGCTCAATGGTTCTCCCGCGTTGGTCGTTTCCATCGTTTCCTCAAGCCGCGTGTTTGCCGTTAAAGTCAGCGACTACGAGGAAGGGTCTGGGGAGTTGTTTCGAGATCTCTCTCACATCTTCAGCAGTCAGCGGATGGCCAGGTGGAATATACCGTAAATGTTGCATACCGTGTGCTTTCTATTGTTTATGTTCGTTTGGACAATCATTGCCTGGATAGGGGGATTTATAGCCAGCCTGATGCTGTGAGCATCACGCCTCAGTCTCACCAAGATCAAAAGGGCTGACGCAGGTCTGGGGTTGGTGGGTCCGAAGAAGTTTCTATATAGTAGTTCTGCGGTGGGGTCGGGGTGAAGTTTCCCACCATCGTTTTCTGTATGCAAACACAGATTGGCTGCCTCTTCTGTAACATGGCCCTGAGATCGCCATACTTACGGCGGTTTCCCAGGTTCTTCCATTGTATGATCGTGACGGCTATAAGTACTTGGCGAGTTTTATCCAGGCATCCTCGCGCGATGGAGGAGTTTTAGGCTTTATTGATGTGGATGTGGGGACAGTGGGGCGTTCTGGGAGTCGATTCCTCCCATCCTTCTCGCAGCACGCGGGCATCTCCACCATGGGGAGAGGAGGAGCAGGAGCAAGCTGGAAGTGTGGCCATTTATATAGAATTTCACTGCCGAGTTCTGGTACGTGGGTAACCTGTTCCAGCTAGCGCACTCTGTAGGCCACGTCAGTGCTTTACACTTTATCTCTGCGATGTTCACCCTCGGCGCAGCAGTCTCCGCTTTAGTGGCGCTGTCTTTGGAGATGTGGTTTCGGTATTTTCGCTTTTGACATTTCGTTCGAGACGGAGGTGTTGCTCTGCATCGGTTTCCTCGTTGTGTAGCTTGTGAGTTCTTTCAGTGGGGATTTAGGTGCAGTATTTGGGAAAGTGTCAAATTTGTACGTGGGTTTATCACGATGCTCTGTGGCAGCAGCTTCGGGTTTTTGACTCGGGTTCTCAGTATTTTTAGCGCATGTCTGGGTAGCTTAATCGCAATTATTTACCATAGGCACTGCTGGTCTTGAAATCTCCTTTCGCTATGGCGATTCAATATTTGGGGTTATAGTTTGTCGGGTTGCTTCGGTAAAGGTCATCCGTGTGTTGACGTATCGGCTCTTCACCATTCGCTCGGCTTCCCCGTATCTTATGCGTTCTTTTGTTTGAGTGGCTATTATTTCTTCTTCCATTCAGTAAATGGGACATGTGTTGGAGCTAGCACGATGTGGTTTTTTCGTGATTGGCACAATTTGACTGGGTATATGTTGATTTTAAGCTCAGTTGACACAAATGGCAGTGGGCTGGCGGCATGACATTGTCCCATGGCCATTTGAAGCATGGGCGAGGCCTCGGGACGTAAAGCCACACTTGGCAGCGCGTCCAGCCAACAGCAACATGTGACGGAAGTTGGCAGCAATTGAAGGTAAAAAAAATACACTGGGGTGGGCACGAGTACATTATGTTCTTTTCTCCTAATACGATAAACGACCGTGACTCTGTATTTTCTCGATTCTGTCACAAAATCTTCGTCTGTATAGTTCGGGCGATTAGGGAAACAGATCGTGCCGCGGGTCTCATTGAGCTTCCCATGGGCGGCAGTTGTAACCGGAACATTGGCTAAAGTCTATATGGTCGTTATGGCTTTGCTCTATTGGTAGTTTGCGACCTCAAGAAAAAGCGCTCGTTTCCTGGTCTCAATGATCTCAGTTGGTTTGCCTTTTAGAGTTCTTCGTATTTCTCAGTTGGCCCTTATAACATCGATACCAGAGAGGTAACGGCCGTCATTAGCTGAAATTGTGAAGAACTTTATCTGTTGTTTGGGCGTTTGTAAAGAGGGTTCATTCGGATTTTCCAAGATACTGGGTCTACGGGGTGAGCGAATATTCGTTCATCTGGCCCTCGGTCCTCATTTCACGTTTCCATGATATTCTTGGTTTCGGTCAGGTTCATATGCTTCCATAGTCAGCTCTTGTTGTTTATCAGTCCGCAGATTCTTCCGGCCTGTGACAGTCGAGGTCAGCAGCTCTGCCGTTTCGGCGGTTGGAGAGGTCCATGGTAGAGAGCTGGGTCGTTGCCGGAAAATTAGCTATGAGAGGCGCATCATTGGAAGAGTTCATTTCAGTTTTCACAAACTTGCGCTTTCGTCTGATACGCTGAGCAGGCACCCAAGTTAATGTCTCCAACAAGGGGATCCCTGCTGTCGGACACACACAGTCCCGACGGGACCACTCATACGCTCAGATTTAGCTTTGGTCATTCTGGTCCTAGCAGGTTATGCGCTTGACTAAAGTTGCAAGACGGGCGCCACTCCATCTGCGCGGCATTTAAGCAGGAGTCTCTCAGCTGACCCTCATCATTAGTGACTATTGAAGCTGGCGGGTCGTTCTATATCCCCGGCAGGGTCCATTACAGAACCAGGCCGTTTTGCCATTTCGGTTAGTCTGGCCGAGTGGCTCCACTCGAGACCGCACAGCCTCGGGTCTCATCAAGACACGCAAGCCGCCCCCCCCCCCGACAAAGACGAGATGGCACTGGGGGGATCAGCTGTTACATAGCGCATTCAATATACAGCCGTTGCAACTATCGAAGAAGCACAAGTTAATTAGCGAGTCAGTCTTTTTTAGTTGACGTTCAGTAAAGGCAAAGTGAATTATAAGCTAGTGAGACAGATAGTAGAGCAGGCAGAGTGAACTCAAGTAGAACCTTTCTGTGAGGTTAGCAGGACACGGCTCACTTGCCGAATCACAGCCACCTGAACTCGCGCAACCTCATTGCTACTGAAGTGAGAGTGTATAAAGATACCTACATATCAGAGTTCAAAACTCAGGTACATATCTAAACGAAAAAAAATGCATATAGGTTGATGAATGAACCCTGCCTATAGTCCTAACAAACTTTAGAGGCGCGCGCGATTGTGCCGACTATATAGGACTGGAGAGCACTTAATCAGCCGCATGTCTGCTTCGGCTCAGGGTTTAAAAATCAGCAGCTGGGCAGCTTGCAAGCTCGGTATGACTTACCTCGGCAGAGTATTTTCATACTCTAAGGCCACTATCAAGTCGGAAAAGAGATTCTGACCAAAAATTGATCTCGATCGGGTGGCCGAGCAGAATAACTTTGCGCCGAGTGTAGTGACTATTCGGCCGAAGCCTAGGCAGCCCCCGAATTTTGTTACGACAGTTGGACAATGTACATATATGAACCGTGCATAATAAACGATTTTTACCGTTCATAATTTCTTTTTCTGAGTGTGCAACACGAGCGTTGCAAAGCCTCAGAACATTTTATGATAACATTAGAAAAAAGTACATGCCTGCCGCAGCTTTGACACGATGATCGCCAGTAGAAAGAGCCTCGAATTCAGCGGTGAGAGGCGCCATGGGTACAACCCCATCCTGAGGCAGCACCGTGTTCACATCAGCGACATCAACAGAGCTCCGAACATCTTCTGTGAACTGCATGACTCGTCGCAGTTCAGCGCAGTACTCCAGCAAGAAACGATCAGTCTGTGAACCACAAAAAATTATTTCACACACTTCGATATCCATATTTCCCAGCACCTACTGTGTTTGGCCTCAAGTGTCAAATCGAGGCCTCTCTGGCACGAAGCCAAGCAATGACAATAAGAAACAATCTTTTATAGTTTCCTTATTTTCACTAACAAAGAAGAGTGATCTCAAAGTGATGCACATATAACAAAACAAAAGTACTAAGATCAGTTTAATAGTATATTTAACCAGAATTCAAGAGCAAATGAAAAGCACAAACTTTCGAATTTTGTTTTGACAACTGTTGCATACAGAAAAAGGAGTGAACAACATATCTCGTAGGAGGTATGTTGTTCACTCATTGTTCAAAGATCAAAATACCTTCGGAGTCCAGCTCCACCGTCAGTTTGACTATCCATTAAAACGTGGTATAGGGAAAAGCAAAAATTCAAGAAAAGGAACAATTTTTCACTGTTCTCTATACCACGTTTCACTTCATTGTTGAACCGATGATGGAGCTAAACTCCGAAACGTTTTCTTCTGTAAAGATTTAGTGAATTTTTGTGCTTTTTAGCTTTAAAATTCACATACATTCAAAGAACATACATGGAGTGGATGCAAGTGTTCAGGTTCATCCTCCATAAGACAGACCGTGCGCGCCATCACGTCACGTATCACCTCCACGATTTTCTCAAAAGTTTTATGAAGACCTTTGCTGTGCATGCATTTCTCGACGTATTTCCTGTACAAAATCACGTGTTCGTCAGATGTAACTTCAGCACGTGATTTTCCGTTGATAAGAAAACCGAAACATTCCAGTGAAATATGTAATGCTGAAAGATAGTACATTAGAAACTATACGAAGAAACTATACGAATCTAAAAATAACGATATAGTATAACTAATATCATCATAAATAATCCACAATCAATTTCTATGATGAGTAACAATAATTTAAACAGATTACATGTGAGCAAATTACCTATAAGGGTTGGATGCCAGAAAAAGAGTACTTGAGCTTTTCTTGAGCCCTCCGCTGTCAACTGGAGCCTCAGCAGACAGCAGGCTACTGTTGCTGTCACTTCGTCCGGCATCAGCATAGCGATCACGTTTATCATCCTTAATATCCGGGTCTTCTTCGCCCTCATCACTACTGGTACTTCCCTCCACGGCGAAACGTACTTCGTTCTGTGCCTTCTCACCCGCAATTTTGTTGGAAATTTCTGAGTCGTCAGCATGGTTAATTATCAGTTTAATGGGGGAGCATACAGAGGTAACCACATTCTTGTGACCGTCTTGGTCAAACGATGAGCTATCCATTGTGGTATCGCGATTTGTGATCTCATCTTCACTCGAGAAAGTTCTCTGAGTGGTACTATTGGACGAAGAAAGGATTTCACTTACAGGACGAAACGTAGGCCACGGGATAACGGATTTTGCAATATGTTGCAGACGGTTTCCGAGAAGTGCGATGGTCTGCCTCAAATGTATGGTCGTGTTATACCATAAACTTAATGCACGACATCGAGTTGTGAACTCAGGCCCACCCCACGCAGGGTAGAGAATAATTATCTTAGCAGTGGAGGGGAACAGCGCCTCTACTTGCTCGATCTGACTCATGAGGTTCGACACCTGTCGGAGAGCTTTGTCTTGGTGGTCACGGCAGGAACTGCACCAGATGGACAGGCAGCTTGAGGGGCACGTGGTGTCGGTGTATGACTTGACGGGGATACTGAAGTTCAGGACTGCATCTATTATTGTGTTAACCTGTCAAATGCAAAGAACATGAGTTCGTTCGACTTACAAAACAGAGAAACGTGTTGTAAATTGTTATTCTTATATAATCTTTGTGATACAATTTGCATCGCAGCATTTATCGTCAACAGAATTCTTTAGCAAATATAGATCAAAATCGTAGCTTATTCAATGATCAGAAAAATTGATGAGAACCTTATCTCTCTGGGCGAAGAGGAGGTTGTCGTATGTGTAGCAGTCGAGCTGAGCATGCCAGGCTTGCAGTTCTAGCCATAACGTCTCGCTGGCCTCTTGCTGATACAACATCTCCTCGTGGCTGAACTGCTCATAACGATAAACGTCTTAAATACTAATAAATATCAGTTACAATGAAGATATAGTTAGGCAGTAGCTGCAATGAAGCATTACATTAAATTTACTAGTAACATTGAAACATAGAAAGGAATGAAAGGTCAAATAGAATAGAACATCAATTTTAATTGACGAAGAATCAGCCATAATGGAACATCGAATATAATGAAACTAATGTTGCCAAAAAACATTGAATGGAATGAAGTATCAGTACTGAAGAAAATTCTGAAGAAGTGAAGATTGTATTGCAATGTAGTGACGCTCAAGCTCAAAGAAGAGAACCTGAGGTAAAACAGCGTCACGCTTTGCTACCAATTTGAAAGAAGCAATTCAGTATAAGTTTGGTAATTAGAACTTATAAAAAATTTTGAAATATATTGATTTTTCAAGTGAAGTTAAAGAGGCAAAACTTTAGCCCAGAACACAATCAACTTTCCCTCTTCTCCGGCTGATAACTAAGAAATGTTGCTTATTTTCATTGGTTGTTTTCGAGTCATATCCAATGTTGAAAACCTATCTCTTTCTTAGAAAACTAATAGAAAACCCAAGCACACAATATATTACACACAATTACAGAAAATAGAAAGAAAGCACAGGGCTAAGTATTGCTAACCTTCCTCCCTCCTCCTGTAGGAGACGTGGCTGCAGCATCAGGACCACCAGCATTGGTACGACGTAGCAATGAGCTGACGTGAGCGTACTGCGCCATGCAGTCCTGGGGCAGCGGTGGCGACTCTAGCGTCGGCGACGGCGGCACCGGCAGCAGAGGCGACGGAGGAGGCACGCATGATGGCGCTGGTTCACTCAAGCGACGACTGCTTACGCTCAAATAGCGGCATCGATGGCCGGTTTGCTGGGCAATCAAACCAATTCAGTTAATGATATCAATTATGGGTTGCTGGGCAATCAAACCAATTCAGTTAATGATATCAGTTCCGGGTTGCTGGGCAATCAAACCAATTCAGTTAATGATATCAATTATGGGTTGCTGGGCAATCAAACCAATTCAGTTAATGATATCAGTTCCGGGTTGCTGGGTAATCAAACCAATTCAGTTAATGACATCAGTTCCGGGTTGCTGGGCAATCAAACCAATTCAGTTAATGATATCAGTTCCGGGTTGCTGGGCAATCAAACCAATCAGGTTCAGGTTTTCTGAGTAACTATATCACGGTCAGTAGTTTGAGAACTACAAATGGCTGTGAAAAATCTAGTTGAAATGGGCGGCAGGTCAACATGGCCCAATGAAATCAGGAAATCAGACCCTACTACTACTTCAACTAAATCATCTCGGTCAATGACATTTAAGTGAGTGTATTATCGCGGTATGAAACAGTGGGGGGTAATTAAATTATTGAGGTAACAGGATTTATGAGAGCTATGATAGTTGATATGACAGGAGCTAACATATGCAGAATAATTTTGCAGCCGTATTTATATTCACATGTCACACATTTAAAGCAGTGCAACCATTAAAAGACTGATTCCTAAATAAGAATTAATACTGTAGTTACTCACTACATTAAATAACATAAGAACTACACAAAATTTGTCACGTTGAAAAATCCCCTTCAGTTAAGTAGTCCCCATGAAGCATGAACAAAATAATTTTTGGACAGTTATCAAGCCTTTAAATCAGCTGTATAATTTTAATTAAAAAATTGCGCGCAGTTCCCAACATTACAAATTATTTCAACATAATATTCAAGTCTCTGTTTTCCACTCCATAAACAAACCTTGGGAAGGCGCTTGAGCTGTGGAAGGCTTTCACAGCGCAATACCACGCCTGAAGATGTTGCTGGGGAGTGAGGGGGAGGCGATGCAGGGTGCTCACACGGTGGGGAGAGAGGAGCTTCATGGAGCTGCTGGTCTGCTGACTTGGCTCCACGGTCCTTCTCTCTGTGTCTGGTGCGCTCCCTTTGCTGAGTGGAGCGCACCTGCTGAGCTGTGCATGGAAGAGGAGTTTAGTTATATTTTTGAGAAAGAATGAAGCAAGCTGCATGATAAGAAAAAATTAGCTGCTGATATGCATGATAAGAAAAAATTAGTGGCTGATATGCATGATAAGAAAAAATTAGTGGCTGATATGCATGATAAGAAAAAATTAGTGGCTGATATGCATGATAAGAAAAAATTAGCGCCTGATTTGCATGATAAGAAGAAATTAGCTGCTGATATGCATAGAAAAAATTAGCGGCTGATATGCATGATAAGAAAAAATTAGCTGCTGATATGCATGATAAGAAGAAATTAGCTGCTGATATGCATGACAAGAAGAAATTAGCTGCTGATATGCATGACAAGAAGAAATTAGCTGCTGATATGCATGACAAGAAGAAATTAGCTGCTGATATGCATGATAAGAAAAAAATTTGCTGCTGAATATTATCCTGACAATTGTATTCTAAGAAAAATTTAGAGAATCATGAAATGCAAATTTAAACTTGATAATTTTGCAGCTGACCAAGTCAGTTTCATGATTTTAAAAATGATCTTATACTTGGTGAAATCTGCATAAACTCTGGGCAGTCAATTACCCAACTCACCGGTAGCCAGGGTGTTGCTGGTGCTGGGTTGGAGAGGCAGGGAGGTGAACTTAAGGACCTCATCTTTCTTTCTCCTGGGGGGCCTCAGAGGGGCTGTTGTTGAGCGTCTGGGCAGAGTACACTAACTTGAGATTATTGTTAGCGCATTTTCTCATTTATGGAAAAAATTCACTATTGTGCTGGCAATGTCCGTCCGTCTGTCCGTCTGTCCGTCCGACAGTGACCTCAAGTTTTTGTCGACGAGAAAATGTGCTCTCTGTCACTCACTGCAGTGAGTACTGAGTTATATTGTTTCAATTATTGCTTAATGATCATACATCTGTCAACTGTTTCATGATGATTTATTCAATGAATTTTAGCATTTTACCATATTTATGTTTAAGATGCAATTACTTATACTGAATGAGATTCAAGTTAGTCAATGAATGATCAAATAAAAATTTAACAACAAATGGCTTGCATGACACCTGGCAAATGGACTATTATGTATTTAAATTAGATGGAAAAGATTAGGACTGAAAAAGATGAAATAAGTGAGTCTTCTGTACTGAGTGAGTTTCTTCTGTACAGTAAACTACAAATAAAAATGTAATTTTCAGAATTTAATTGCAAGCATTCAAGTGTTTATCAATTTGGCATTTGAGTAGGTATATGTAAATTATACCTTGTTTGTAAATTGTCAAACTTTTTTCGGTTCCTTGAAGCTGCAGTATGTTTGACAGGGAAGCCAGTTCTGGGCACTGGAGGTGACTGTCCAAAGTATTCATCACTGTAATCTGCCTGCTCTTCTTCAATTGCCCAGCCATCATCATCATTTTCAAGGATAGCAAGATTTTGATCACTTTTAGTGGGGCTACATCTTGACCAGTCATTCAGACGTGACCAAGATTCACTGCAGAAGGGAGAGCTCAATAAAAAATTAGGAATTTATTAAAATTTTGTACTTCATCACTGAAGGAAATTTAAAAACTAATAAGAATAATAACATTCAAGTTGTTTGCTCAAAGTACTGTATAATTGGATTAATCATCAAGTGAAATTTTAAAGCAGTTCAGGATTTTTCCCAAAGCATACGGTATGCTACAAATAAACTATCTGCAAATATCCTACCTTTCAGCCACACCAACAGGATTGGCATCAATCACATTGACAGAAGCTGACAAATTGTCTTCATGAAGAGAGGACTGCCTCAAATATTCCTGTAACTCAGCTGCCTCCTGGTCACTTAAGCTGCTTTCACTGCTGTTGCTGGTGAGAAAAGGTTCTTTATTGAAATTTCTTTTCAACAGCATGATCATGCTATCTAAAATGGATAAATGTTTTTACAGTTACAACATTATGTGGTTAGTCATGATACATACGGTAACCTGTCTCTAAATGTGAATGAAAAAATGTGAATGGATCACTGACTCTTGCATTTCAAAATTAAATGGCCTAACTATTCATTATATAGATATATGTAATAATCAAATAATAATGTGTAGTACAAGTATGATTAATAACTGAAGTTTAATCATGGTAGTGCCAGAATAAATAGAATGAATGAGTTTACATGAATAAGTATGTGTAAATTAATGGCTCAAACTTCTGAAATGAATGAATCTACATGAATTACATGTAAATATATCATTGAGGACATTATGTTTGACTTACAAATGAAAGTTCAATAACTCAACAGTAATATTAAATAAAATTTAGAAAATGACAATTTGAATGACAGAGAGGTCTCTCATTAGTCAGAGGTTCCTCATTACAATGTGCAGATAGAAATAATCATATTTGCTTCTTTGATTAGAACAGATGGTTGAGAAACTTGAAAAGTTTAAAAAATTTCATGTATTTATGAACTCCTACCATCAATTGATTAGACCCAATTGTTTTAATTCAACTCTTTGAAAGGAAATACAGAATGTCTCCATGAGGTAGATCATTTTAAAGTGAAATAGTTCAAACAAAAGTCAAACAATTTAAAAACAAAGAAAATTCCACCTAAGTTCACTGGATGCTTATATAAAATGTTTCAAAGTTCAGCTTTAACTTCAGTTCAAAGATTCTAAAATGCAGATAAAATTGAAAGTCATGAAACCGAAATTAAAACCTATATTCACAATAAAAGACAAAACCCAAGACAAGAACTGCAAAACCTATCTACTCACACGTTCCCAGTTTCTTTACATGTGTGAACATTAGTGAAATTTTCTCTGCCTTTAAATTTCTAGTTAATTTTCAACTCAAGCAAACAAGTGACATTAATACTTGTTGAAAAACAAAAATCATGCTGGTAATATTGAGGAGAGTTAAGCATGCATGAGATGCACTCACTTATCCATTTGAGTATTGGTTAGTGCAGGTTGACTCTGAAAACCAGTTTTAGGTGTTGTAACTTCAGTCAATTCTGAGTCAGACAGCAGATCTTCTGGGACGGGAATGCCTAACCTGTCAATCCAAGTCTTAGGTTCTTCAGCACCAAGATTTTTATTGGCCATTTTGATACCTTGGTCTGGATAAATTTTCACTCATACAAGCAGAAAAACTGGTATGAATTGGTTGAATTGAATACTCATCGGTTAATCTAGTGTCCTTAAATTAAGGCAGTGCAGGGCCTTGTAACTAACAAAAATACAATTTTCTTAAAATTTTGTAAGTTATTTTTTTGTATTATTTCCTGCATTGAAATAAATACAGTAGCCTTCCATTTTTGTCCAAGTTTGCCAAATAGACTGGTTTCTATAATCCATAGCTAATGAATTAAAGTAACTGAAACAGACAACACAAAATTCAGGTTTACAGCCAAATATTTTGATGTCATTACAGTTGTTACAGGGCATTGTTAGCTAGAAAATTATTATAAAAGAAACTACTACTTTTAGTGAAAACTTAACTATATTCATAGATAATGAAGACATTTCATGATACAATGAACACAATATTTCCTCAAATTGTCTTCTAGGTAAGGAGTTGCCTAACTTCTTGCTGCCATCATCAGAATTATGTCAAGATCCTTTAGGTTTCAATCTCATGTCCTTTATACTTTATTATCAAATAATGTCAAAACCAAATAACTATATTTAATTATTTTTTGAATTATTAAAATCAAAAATAGAAGATATAAGACACTTCTAACAATTTTACAAATATTATTCCAATTCATAGACATGACATGAAAGGCATCAAGGGTAATAGGACAGATTATGCATGTATGACGGGATGCTTATTTCGTGCTTTATTATTTTTGTTTAACTGTATGTTATATTAATCCTGTGCTAGATTAGTGACTACCGTTGTCAATTGTTGATAATATTTATTTTGTGACTGCAACAAGGAATCTCATTTAAGACTAAGCAATGCGTAAACGAATATTTATTTCGTGACCGTAATATGGCATCTTGTCTAGCTGTGGTGATAATAGGATTTAGTTAGTGTCTTAGGACGAGACAAGGCGTAGCTCCAACGTAATTGGTTGAGCTGCTCCTAACCTCGTTATAACGCGCGCTAGGTAGTCGTGAACGATGGAGAGTTTGGTCTTTTTGGAATTAGTTTACAATTATTAGATTTCTAACTGTACGTAATTAGTTTGCCGAATGATTACAAATATGTTGACTTTATTGTATTATATATATTATATTATCTATTTTTTTGCACTTAGGAAGTGTTTACAGTCTGTTTTGTACATTGTAAACGGGGTGTTGAGGTAAGCTCATTTTGGCTGAGTTACCCTCTCATTGTGTGCGCTCGGAAATTGTGTGTGCTCAGTGGTGCTGGGTTGGGGTGACACGGTTTTGACTCAAATCAGGCAGAGCCAAATTTGGGCTTCCAAGAATAAACTTCACCGCAGTTCTGGGCATAACTCTTAATAAGTTTCTCTAACGGACTAATAAGGGCGTAGGTGGAGTTCTTGGATAGTTCCAGGTTTTGGCTGCGTTGGGCGGTTAACAGCCGTTCAATTTGCACCCTCGAAGTAGAGGCTAATAACCTCTGCACTCGAGTAAATTGTCAGCAGCTTATTGAAGGCTCATAACCTTCAATAGTCATGCTTTTGAGGCATAACTGCCACCCCGGTTCTGTGTTCTGGGCAGTGCATTAGGGCTCGAACCCCTGATCNTAAAAATGTGACCCACAAAAAAGAGCTATTATTTAAAGCCTGTCGGAGTACCCCCTCCAATTTTTTTATTTTTTTGGTAAAATAACTCCAGGTAACTAGAAGAGTTCTACTACAATGCACCACAACCTGGAGTTATTTGGAGTTATTTCACTAAAAAATAAAATTGATTTTACAACCTGGTCAAAGAAACCCCAAGAGCTGGGGTAACAAAGACCTTCACTTTTTTTTAAATTACATCAAAACTATGAGAGGCAGGAGCCAGCAATTTATGGTGAGTAAAGCTAGAGTATATACCTGTATTTTGCATGTTTCAATTTAAGTTTAACTTATCTAGTGAAAAAATGGCATCATTTTGAAAAAAAAGTGGTCAAAGTTACCCCATTTTACGGTACTCCAGGGTGTAAGCAGCATTGCCAATATATGGATTTTTAGGCCAAAGTATTGCCAGCCATTTTCAAGATTGGTCGCCGGGTAATTTTTAATAAGAAAGTGCTTCAAGCAACTTTAACAGTATATCCCTTACTCTCCACAGACTGTAACACTTACAGATATCACAACTGATTTCTGGACAAGCTTCACTGCATCCTGATCCATCCAGCGGACCGGTCAACAAAAAACCTTACTATGTACGCTTGCAGTCTTTCAGATTTGCAGTAATTTTGAAGTAATTACTAAATGCAATAATTTAAATCCAACTGTGTCAGCAAGATCTTCAGAAGGCGAAAATTTTGCTGCTGATGCCTTGCCAAATAGCTTTCAATAGTCACCCACTTTCTGCACCCTGGTATGTACTAAGGATTGTGGAACAGTCTGTTAATTGGTCTAAAATTTCAAAATACTATGTTCTTTTATTTTTAATATAGAATTGCATCAATGATCATGCCAGATTGCCAGTCACAGTCTCACAGTCACTCAGTCAACTGGTGTAAGGCTCAAGACATCACTCACAGGCTCACAGCAAACTCAGCAGGCACAGCAGCCACCATTCACGCTTTCTCCAAAACAGGGTTGGCAATGATTAAATCAAAATGATTAAATCATGTGATTAAATCACTTGATTTTTTTATAAAAAAATCATGATTTTTTTTTATTTTTTTGATTTTTTCATATATTTAAATATATTGAGTGGCATTCTTTAATTAATATTGAGGTATTGTTATTCATGGTTTAGTATAAATGTACTAAGAATGATAAATTACTATATAAACTTGTTGCCTTTAGTGTTTATTAGGTTCCAATAAATTGAATGTTTTTGGTACAGAGGCATGAAGTGTGCAATACATTGTACGTAGCTAGCAGCTTAGCTAATTTTTATAAGGCTATAAGTAGTCTTTAACTATTTGACTATTTGTTGTATATTGATGACAATATACAATTTAAATGTGTTAGCTAGCTTATACAGAGACGGGCAGAACTGATTGAACAGTTTTGAGGCAAAATAAAGGAGTAATGGAGGTACATAAAGAAGAAAGTTTATTTTCTTCAAGATTAGCATAACATACCATTTAAAATACTTATGTTTTGAAAACAATATCAGGCAGATGGTTTTTGTTAGCTGCATCACACTATTGGAGTCATTTTCGGAAGTTTCATACAGCAAGTTCACACATATGGCAAGGTATGGCCATAACATCTGCTACAATAATTCATTCCCTTAGCTGTGGTAGGGTGTGAGGGCGACTTCTGAACACCCTCTCTTTTAGATGTCCCCAAAGAAAGAAATCACAAATGCTCAAATCAGGTGACCTAGGGGGAGACTGTGCAGGATTCCCCCATTTAATAACCGAGCCGCGGCCAGAGTACAGACTCTTCGTGAGGGATCACTGTCTGTGGTAGGACCGAGGCTCTTTAATGCGTTGCCAAAAGCGCTGAGAGGAGGGGAGTTTACCCTTGCAACATTCAAGAGACAACTGGACAAGTGGTTGAGAAAGATCCCGGATTGTCCAGTAATGGGAAACTACCATCAGCAAGTGACAAGCAACAGCATCTTGCATCAGCGTGCCCAAATGAGGGCAAATAGACGGAACACGCCCAACATTACATCCGACGACAACTCGGAGACGGAGGAGGACGAAGGCGACGCATCAGCGTGTCCTGGGACTAGGAAGTACCGAACTCATCATAAGGTCATAAGGTAAGTCGTCTCGTTTCAAGTCATTTGGTTATCGTTCAGTTTATGTTTAGCATTGGTTTATTGGTCTGAATTAAATGGGAACAGTGCAGTCAGTCACTCAAGTCACTACTAGTTGGTGTGAATAGAGGGTAGAGTGGTAGATTTATAGGACATAAAACTAGTAGATCTATTGATCACTTAGTGCTGTGCACTGTGCTATCAGCTACCTATCTGTCATATGACTCTTTAATGTACTTAGAAGATCTCCATTCCTGTAGTGTTTTTGTATATTGAAGCCAGTGCAATGGTCAATATTTAGCTCATTACCTTACTCCATTACAAACTTTACAAAGCTAATGAATAGACTTATCAATAATTGTTTACCCAAAAATCCCTAAGTGGTAAACGCCACCTTGGCCAGTTGGCCATTATTGAAGGAAATAAGTGCCCTTTTTAGCCATCCATTATGATCAATATACTGTTATTGTTAGTAAGCTACTTGCAACATAAAAAATAACACTTCAAAAAGACAAAAAAGCTGAAAAAATCAAATAAATAAAAAAAATCATGACAAAAATAAAAAAATCATTGATTTTTGATTTTTTGATTTTTTTTTTAAAAATCAAAAAAATTGCCAACCCTGCTCTAAAACTGTTGAACCGGCAAACCAGCCTACCAGAAAAGCACAGAATCAGAGCTGTTCCAAAATTTCTTCAGACTCCCAAAACATGGTTCAACTTATTCAACTTAGTGGAGAAGCAGGGAGAGGGAGGTTTGTTTTTTACTCTTCTTTAAGTTCAATTTTGAGTCCTATAAGAACTAGCCTAAGCCTACTAGGCGGTAGGACCTAAGTAAGGTCAGGCCCCTGTGCAGAGAGTAGATGAATAATGCAAGATATTTGGTGACGCTTCAGTAGCAAAATTTACACCTTCAGAAGATCTTGCCAACACATTTAGATTGAAATTCTTGCATCTAATATATTTGTCAGTCTTCGGCCAGCTATTTATAAAAAAGTAAGGTTTTCGGTATGTTGGATAGATCAGGATGCAGTAAAGCTTATCCGGAAATCAGTTGCGATGAGTACCCATCAAAAAAATGTAAACAAGTTTACTATTGTGTAGTTGCGGCCACATTAGAGTGGTCAGACTGCATTATCACATGTTCAGTTGACACTTGCTGTACAATCAGACTATTTTTTCGGGTACAATTAGTTATTTGGGGTAACATGTGCATGCAACCTTGTAAATAAGTTTGTGGCTTGTAAATAGTTTTTCATTACGAAGAATAAATGACTTTTCATTAAAAATTACCTGGCGACGCATCTTGAAAATGGTTGGCGATGCTTTGGGCTTAAAAACCCATATATTGGCGACGCTGCTTCCACCCTCTGCACCCTGGAGGTCAGGGCTGGAAAAGTCCTATTTTGTTCTTAAATATCATGGCTCTAATATCATATAGTTTCAGTAGGTATGAAATCTCGTGGCTCAAATGTCATAAGCTTTTGTTTGATTGAAGAAATTGTGGTTAGCACTTTGCAAACATGTCATTTAATAAAATTTTCAACTCCTGCAATCCACATTACTTTACCATTCCTGCCTAAATATCCTGCAGAACGTAATAA